TTATACATATATCGCAAATCTGTCTCAAAATTTGCAGATTTAGGCAAAGAACTAGACCGATTGTGTACTGCTATTGTACAATCCAAGATGGCGGTATGCAGTGAATCTACTTTAACTAGAACTTCAACTGTAACAGGGTAAATTAAATTGCATCAAAGAACCTAGATAGTTTTTATATGTCCGTCAAAGACGGGACCTATTATGGTATACCAATGTTGGTCTATCCATCCAGCTATTACACCGACTTACGATAACTCAAATTTTTATCCAATTCTCGTATAACTTTTAACACAATATTAGAATTGATGGATGCTCCTTTTCGATTTTTTTTTATTTTTGAGTTTGTCATTCCAGAGTTACGGAACTTTGACCTTTAGATTTAAGACAATTTTTACAAATTGTGTACTTACTCCAGTATTCCTTAATTGGTTTCCTCCAAACTTCATTATTATGAGGATTGATGAAAAGAAGCTCCCTTTTGATTTTTTCAATTTGTCGTTCCAGAGTTACAGAACTTTAACTTTCACATTTAAGGCAATTTTGCACAAATCGCGCTCTTACTCCAGTATTCATGGATTGATTTCCTCCAAACTTGATTTTATTGTGGAGATTAATGAAAAGGAAGCTCCCTTTATATTTTTTAAATTTTCAAGTTTGTCATTCCAGAGTTATGGAACTTTAATTGTCAGATTTTAGTACATTTTTCACATATTGTACTTGAGTTTGCCTGGATTGATTTAATGGAAACTTAACATAATTGTTGGAATTGGTGAACATAACAATTGCATATCTCAGCTATTTATTACTCCATCAAGGGGTGAAACTGAGAAATTACAAAGGCAAAACCATAGTTAACTGGTCGGTAATATAACAGTTTTAAAGGAACTGAATGTTTTTACACAGCTAGTTGTCTAGGTAGTTCAACATCATTTACCAAGAGCATGTGATATATTTGTTATTTACTAATCAAAGAGTAATGGCTTATCCAGGAACTAGTTGTAATTCATAATAAAACTGACAAGAGAGAGAGTCAGCTGCCACAAAATAATTTATGTATCCAATATCTAGTCACTTGGAAGTAGATCACAATGAATAAATATGTTCTCAACATTTTTCTGTTGAATGCAATTTGACAAATGACCATTACTTCAGTTGACATCTTTACAATAAATCTGTTAGAAGTGTACTGATTGATATTTTAGTCTTGGAAACCATGGTTTATTTAGTAGGAACGATTGTTGGTGTTAAAACCACTTTCTTTGCTAAATTATCTTGGAAGTTTTTATTGCTGCAACAAGTTAGGTTCTAACTCTCAACCTCAGTGTCGACAGGCTAGTGATCAACATAGATAAACTACTTAAACAACAGCCACAGATGCTCTATAAGTTAAAATTTGGCTTTGAAGTAGACTTCAGTTACAGCTAATACTTTTAAATCAGTTCTTTGTATCTTGTCTTTTTGTTAGATGCTGTTATTCCACCATAAAAATCCTCCATAAAATTGAGATGTTCCAATGCTCAAACAAATGTTGAAAGTCTGTAATATTAAGATTTTACTACAAGTATCACAAAATCTTAACATTGATCACTGAACCATAAAATGAGGTAAAGGTCATATGAACCATGCCAGACATACATGTACAAAATCATTCCATTCACCAAATATAGTTGACTTATTACTTATAGCATCTGATAAACTGACATAACCATGAAAACTTAACATTGACCAATGAACCTTGAAAATGAGGTCAAGGCCATATGAACCCTGCCAGACAGACCTGTACACCTTATAATCATTATATACACCAAATATAATTGACCTTTTGCTTATAGTATCCAATAAACTGACAAACCCATTAAAATTAACATTGACCAAAAAAACATGAAATCAGAATGAGGTCAAGGTCATATAAAACCTGCCAGACAAATATGTATATACACCTTACAATCATTCCTTACACAAAATATAGCAGCCCTATTGCTTATAGTATCTGAGAAATAGACCAAACCACAAAAACAAAAAATTGTTCAATTAACCATGAAAATGAGGTCAATGTTTGATGAGATCTGCCAGTCGGACATGTTCACCTACTAATCTTTCCATACACTTAATATAGAGGCCCTAGTGCTTATAGTATCTGAGAAATAGACAAAACCACAAAAACTGAACATTGTCCTCTGAACTATGAAAATGATGTCAAGGTCAGGTTGAATCTACCAGTCAGACATGTACACCTTACAATCATTCCATACACCAAATATAGTTTACCTATTGCTTATTGTATCTGAGATACGGACTTGACCAAGTAAACTTAACCTTGATCACGGATCTTTAAAATGGGGTTGAGGTCAGGTGAACCCAGTTGGACAGACCTGTAGAACTTGCAAGGAAGCCATTACCAAATATACATATCCTATTACTTATGATAAGTGATTATTTCACATGACAAACAAGAATGTGTCCATAGTACACAGATGCCCCACTTGCACTGTCATTTTTATACCCCCACAATAGCGGTGGAGGCATTAAGTTGTACCCTTGTCCGTCTGTACGTCCCAAATTTGGTTTCCGTTCTCTTAACTTGAGTTTGCCTCAACCAAATGTTATGAAACTTATAAACAATGCTTATTACCACAAAACACAGATCAAGTTTGAATTTTGGTGGCGTCACTTTAACCGTTCTAGAGTTATGCCCCTTTATAAATGGAAAAATTGCAAAATTTTTATTTTCTTCTAAATATCAAGTAATTTTTTAAATTGGAGTTATCTTCCTTTGTCCATGATTATAGTTATATTCATTACCACAAAACTAAGATCAAGTACAAATTTTCTAACTTTAGTTTGCCTCAACCAAATGTTATGAATCTTATACAAAATGCTTATTACTACATAATACAGATTAAGTACGAAATTTGGTGGCGACACTTTTACCATTCTTGAGTTATGTCCCTTTATAAACATAAAAATTGCTGAATTTTTCGTTTCCGTTCTCAAACTTTAGTTTGTCTCAACCAAATGTAATAAAACTTATACACAACCGTTCTAGAGTTATGCGTGTTTACAAATAGAAAAATTGCTGAATTTTTAGTTTCTGTTCTCTACTTAAGTTAGCCTCAACCAAATGTTATGAGACTTACACACAATGTTTTTACAACAAAACTCAGATCAAGTTCAAATTTGGGTAGCGTCACTTTTATCGTTCTTCAGTTATGTCCCTTTATAACTATATGATATGCAAGCAGGGGCATCATCTGTGTCCACATGTGGACACTATACACATTTATTTATGTTCAGTGGATTGTGAAATTTGGGGCCAAACTCAAATTTGGCATTAAAATTAGAAAGATCATATCATAGGGAACATGTGTACTAAGTTTCAAGTTGATTGGACTTCAACTTCATAAAAAACTACCTTGACCAAAAACCAAAAACTTTAACCTGAAGAGGGACAGACGGACGAACGGAGGCACAGACCGAAAACATAATGCCCCTCTACTATCGTAGGTGGGGCATAAAAAAGTATATTTTTTTTTTCAAGCAGACACTTAATCATGAAATGGGCAATGGACATATGACAGACAGAAACTTCTTAACATAAGGTATCTGCATACAAGGTACAAAACATCCAGGTCTTCTACCTTCCGAAATATAAAGCTTTAAACAAATAGTTTTAATACAGCGTCCCCACTGCCAGTTTGTAATCCCTATGTCTTGCATTCTGCAACTTTCATTGCAGGCGAGACAAAAACTGCATACCAAATACCATTGACTTATCATAAGTGGTTCATCTTAAACAGATCTAATTACAAACTTTAACATGTAAGCTATGGAAATTATTCAGTCAATAGACCCTGACTGAGCCAAAAAATCTCCATGGAAATGAGATGTGCTAGTGCTAAAACATCTGCATTCCAAATATCATTGACCTACCAATAATGGTAACCTTTTTAAATAAAACTGACCTAATCACAAAATAATACATATAAACTAGGCAAAAGTTTGAAAGTCAGTACACCATAACTGAGAAGGTGAGGCCAAATAATCTCCATGAAAATGAGTTGTGCTAATGCTAATACAACTGCATACAAAATACCATTGATATACCACTAGTGGAACCCCAAAGACTGACCTAATCACAAACTAAAAGATGTAAACTAAGCAAAAGTATGAAGTCAATAGACCATGACTGAGGGGCAGGGCCAAACGATTTCCATGAAAATGAGATGTGCCAATGCTTATACAACTGCATACCAAATATCATTGACCTATCACTAGTGGTTCCACATAAACTGACCTAATCACAAACTAATTAAATTTTCCCACGCTTCAAAGAATTACGGGAAACATTTGTATTAATGATGCATATGAATTTTCTAATTTAGTCAAGTGAAAAATCCAATATTCAACAATCCCAGTTTCTAGCTGTCTGGGTTATTGGCAATATGAATATATTGTTTGTTTTGTTTAAGCCTATATATTTAAGGGAAAGAAGTTAAGGTAATACTACATTGTTGACAATGCCTAAGTCTCGCTTTTTCGACTTTGATGAAGCAAATCAGAAACAGGCAAATGTATCCCTTTTTTCGAGCAATGGACAGGGTAAAATGTAGTGGAAGTTGTCTTTTTAGAAAGAGAATGAGATTTTAATAACTAGTGAGAATATAAAGTTTATTCCTCTAGTATTTCACAAATTAAGGGGTAAAATATTTCTTATAATCAGAATAAGGAAATTTCTCGAAAAAGTGGTGATCCGAAAAGTCCTGACCACTAAAAGTTTGTAGAGGACAGACACAATTTTGGTATTTTTGAAATAGAAATAAAAGTGAGGACAAGCAAATTTTTTTCAAGGATCACCAAGGAAAAAAAGATTTTGAGAACTCTGCAGGAACACAAATGACAAATGTTTCACTTCAATATAAGTTACATTGCTGTTGTTTTTATGACAAAATAGAGAACTGACAATTTTGATGTTTTGTTGTCATTGACGAGTAAAACAAACAGACAAAGAAACATTTAATAAATAAAATAACCAACAAGAATTACAAAATTTCTTTTGAACCAATTCATTTATACAGCTGACAACTGCTAAAAATATCAAAGTTGCATGTAATCTCAAATGACCCCTTATCGCAAAATCCCATTATGTACTGTGAACAAAAATTATTAAGCGTTCATACAGTAATCAGAAAATCCAGATTTTTTCAAGCTTTCAATGTTCCTTGCACACATGTATTTTTCATTTAACTCTATGAAGAACTTCTTCCATGTCTAGTACATATAGAGTAAAAATCCTCTGTGATGGAGTAACTATCTGGCAGTGATGGAGTAGCTATCTGACAGGTGTTGGTTTTAATTCACATGAAGCTGTAAGCAGCACCTCCTAAGAAAGATCGTTTTGGAGCAGGTACAGGCATCATACCAGGCATGCCTCCTCCTCCTCCTTTGTTTACTGCACCTCCACGAGTTGATGAAGCAGCACCTGCAGATTTCTTTTTGGCTGATTTACCTCCCTTGTTAAACTTCCACTGACTAAAGCCACCAGATTTAGCTGCTGTAGAAGCACCTGTTGCTTTACCCCTTCCCCTTCCACTAGCTCCTCCACCTCTCTTCTTTCCAAATTTACCCTGAAAATATTTTGTTTTCTAATTATATACATGAATAATAATATTAACGCCCATAAAATAATTTGCATGCTAATTATTAATTTTGACTTCAGAGTAAAACTTTCTTGACATCTAATGAATAAATATTTGTTGTAAATGAACTTTGAAATTCTAGTATCATTCTAAGTCAAGAAGTTTAAGAATTAAATGGGGGAATAAAATATTTTATCATATATTTCTTTTTTTTCTTTACTGAATAAGTGATTTAAAATTTGAACCATTTCTCATGCATTTTCACTCTTAAATAAGCCCCAAAAATGCAACATTTTACGTTCTTCCCATTACCTCCAGTGGTTATTAATTGAATAATTTAAAGTATTAGCCAACAGATAGTAGCTGCTGACAGATCCTTAAAGCTCTCTCACATCAAAACTCATCACTGTCAAGCTGCAAACCAAATATTAAAAGTCATTTTGTTTAGTACCCCAGTAGTTCCATGGAAAAAAATATTTGTTTCATTTAACACATTGTTAAATTCAAAGTATCGGTAAACAAGAAGTTGGAGTCTGACAGATCATTAAAGCACTCACATCATAACTCATCATTGTCAAGCTGTGAACCATATATGAAGTCATTCTGTTTATAAATTTCATGTTATACAATCAATAACAATTGCTAAGCTCTCTCCATTATATTGATGTCAGGTTGATACAAGTGTGATATTGAAATATTCATATAATCTCTATATACAAAAAAAATGTATATATCCATTAATACAAGTTTATGCGAAATAAAAATGCACTGCTGTGTACTAGATTTACTAGAAAAATTCACATTGCTTTTATTCCTATAAGAAGTGAATAGTATTTTTAAAACCATCAGTATGACCTGACAGTAATTGAAACCAATACCTTAATCTTACACATTTAAAGGATGCAGATTGGAGTCAAATCAAGCTCATGGCCATATGATAAATGTGTATGAAGATATACTAGTTACAATGAACGGGATAGAGACCAGAAACCAACAGAATCATCATAAACTTGGAAAATGAGGTCAAGGTCAGATGACAATTGCTGGCCAACATAGTCTCAACATAATCTTAAAGCTTATTTTGATTAAATTTAAGCTGTGACATGATATAAATGTTTTTTAATTATCGCTTCAGCCACAAGAAATAAATAAACTTCAACAGACAAAAATTTTTCACTTCATTTGAAAAATGTTTACAATATTTACCTTTTTGAAACCACCTTTCTTTTTTGATGATTGTGAATTTGATTCATCAACAAAATATGGGGAAGACCACTCTGGAGGTAATTCCTCCTCCTCCTGCCTTGCTGAATATATTGTTTCTTCAATACCTGAAAGAAAATTTTATCTCCTGTTTAATTCAAACATTAAATCACAATTTTTATTTCATGGTTCTTAAAATAAACAGCTGTGACAAGAAAGCAAGATATACCTGTCCACTGTTAATTGTTTCAAGAATAAAATAGAATATTGAAGAAGGCTTTAAATCAAGTTATAAAAAGGCCCTCCTGAACAACATGAAGGAAAACAGCCAAAAGATCTTTGTTTGACCATCAATTTATTAGTATTTCAAACAATCAAAAGGGAGCTTTCTTCCTTAGGGACACCATTCTTTGCCCAGTCTATGACAGGCATATAAAATTTGTCTAAAATTTGTCAGCTGAGTTCCATAACACCAAGAATACTGCAATTGCAAATCATAATTTTTTTTTACTAATTCCAACAGCATAAAGTTTGAGGTAACTTGATCAAATAACTTGATCAAATAACTTGATGCTAGTTTCTGACATGTGTAAAATTACCATTAATCTGACAGTATAAGTCCTTTAAGGGCTGTTTCATTGATGACGAAATTGACATTCCTAGTAAAAGTTCATCTCAAATTTTGGTTGGATTTCATGTTGCAAGTTCCAAGACCAACCTAAATCTTACCCACTTGACCAATTGACGAATGCTAAACAAACACTTTTGGTCTGTGACATTATATTATTTTGTTGTGATTCTAAAAACATACAGTCGACTCTTGTTATCTCTAAGTCAGCTGGACCATAGAAATATTTCGACTCAAACGAATACCGCAAGTTTGACAGACCAAGGGACACAACTCTTTCATGGCTTGGTCCAGCTAAAATAAATCCAGATGAATATGGATTGGTAGGGGATCAATATTCTGGTCTGAGACCATTCTATCTGCATGTAATCCATTTAAATCCCCGAGGTCATGTTATGACACTAGTACTGGTTCGAGATAAATAAGTCAATTAAAATGCTTTTGTTAACCTTAGGATTATAAATTTGGTTCAAGTCAACCGAAATTTCGACACATCAGGAGTCGAAATACATATATTTATATTGTCCACAGGAAATTTTCACTCATTCATTTGACACAAATGTTAACAGCCTGATCTATTGGATCATTACCAAAATCATTCAAACTATGGAAATATGAGACATTATTTTGTAGTCAAAAAGGATAATTGAACAAAAAACTTACTGTCAATCATGTACTTATAATTCCTTGTGACATCTAAGAATCTCTCTGCTTTGTATTTGGTGACCTTTGCCCTTGGCATATTGTCTATTCCGGTCACCATTTCATCAACTGTTGTGGGTGTTCTCTCCGCCATTTGTCTTAAACAATTTGTTGGAAATATCATCACAAAGTTCCGAACTCCATATTCAGCAGCTGAAAAACAAAACAAAATAATTTAACCATACAATTTTTAGATGATGCTTTTTATATGGTAATAAAATATAACTTTTAGAATGCTTTGGCCAATAAAAATTACAGAATTGTATGAAACTTCTATGTCGTGTAAAAATGAAGGTGTGCATCTCAAATTCTGGCAGAGAATGACAAATTCTTGCCCGTTCCTGAATTTAAAACTCCTTGATTCATACACACAGAATGTTTGTATTGGAAAACACTTACAGCAAAGACAAGTCAAGATAGGGTAATTATCATTCCTATTTGGCAATGTGTAGTTTGTAAGATAATATCATTTTACAATTTAGATTAATTATTGTTTTGTTTTAACTTACACATCTTAGTGTTTTGATTTCAATTTCATGTGACTTTCCTTTAAAATTAAGATAAACTTTCATAACTAGCAAAACTCACAACAATGTGTTGATTAATGACATGTGACTAAAAATGTATAATCTGTTTAATTTTAAGGTGTGGCTGAATTTCAACCATATAAGGATATCCATTTAGTTCTACCATATGAGAATCATATATATGGTATATTCTGTACATGTATGGCCTAAATATTTATACTGTCATTAACACTTAATAGTCATTCTCTGTAAGCATCAAATTGAGTTGGCTATGACTATCCAGATTCCCTTCATTTTTTGTTGTTCTAATGATTTTTTTATTAAAAGTTCTGAAATATTTCCATTTATGTATAGCATAGCAACCATGAAAAAAAAACATTTAGGAGAAATTTGACAAAAGACATACCAATTTCTTTAGCCATTTCAACTAATTCATCATAACACTTGTCAATCAAGTTCTGTTTCTCACTGACTGGTTCTCTGCCAATCTTAGCCACCTCAGTTCTTCTACCGCCTCCCTGGATAGGTAGCTCTACCTGTCAATACCAAAGCATAAATTTACTTCTAGCTAATAAGAGTATAAATATCCAGATATTCAAAGAACTTACAAAAAATTTAATCAGCAGCTAAGTTTAAAATCCATTGAAAACATAAAATATCTGTTGCAATCTCTTTGTTTCACCCATGTAACACGACTGTCAATAAAGACAATCAACCACTACTAAAGATATCGTTTTAATAGCGTTAGTCTAATTCAATGATCAATCGATATGATTATGTATTCTTGCTGAATAAGTTGACTGCTATAAAATAAACTCTATAAATAACAACCTACAATGAAACTGCAGTACATATTCATGCATTTATATAATTAAAGCAATATCAATCTAAACAAGAAATGATTGTAACAGGATGCTGTTACGAAGTCTCCCAAACGAAGCTCCCATAATTCATAATTCCCAGGGTCGACTGACATTGGGCAACGTCCAGTGAAAATTGGTTTGGTCCAGTAAAGTTATATGCATTAGTGATGCCTGGGGACTAACCTTGTATATCATTCAAATCATCTTGGCATGACAAACCAGAATATATATGGTTTAGGGGTGGGGATCTCAACCATTTACAAGATACTAGAATATTGGGGGTGGGGAGGAACCCCTGGGGACTGGCACTATACGTCATTCAAATGTTCATTACATGACGAACAGGAATATATATGGTTTAGGGGTGGCGATCTCAACCATTTACAAGATATTAGAACATTGGGGGTGGGGGAAACCCCTGGGGACTGACCGTATGCGTCATTCAAATGTTCGAGACATGACAAATAGGAATATATATGGTTTAGGGGTGGGGATCTCAACCATTTACAAGATATTAGAACTTTCTCAAATGGCAGGGGGTCGGGATGACCCCTGGGGACTAACCCTGTCTATCATTCAAACCATCTTCGCATGACAAACCAGAATATATATGGTTTAGGGGTGGGGATCTTGACCACTTAGAAGATATTAGAACTTTCTTAAATGGCAGGGGGTGGGGATGACCCCTGGAGACTAACCCTGTATAACATTTGATGTGCTTTATCATGACAAACCAGAATATATATGGTTTAGGGGTGGGGATCTCGACCATTTACAAGATATTAGAACTTTCTCAAATGGCAGGGGGTCGGGATGACCCCTGGGGACTTACCCTGTATATCATTCAAACCATCTCAGCATGACAAACCAGAATATATATGGTTTAGGGGTGGGGATCTTGACCACTGAGAAGATATTAGAACTTTCTTAAATGGCAGGGGGTGGGGGTGATCCCTGGAGACTAACCCTGTATTTCATTTGATGTGCTTTATCATGACAAACCAGAATATATATGGTTTAGGGGTGGGGATCTGGACCATTTACAAGATATTAGAACTTTCTCAAATGGCAAGGGGTGGGGGTGACCGCTGGGGACTAACCCTGTATAACATTTGATGTGCTTTATCATGACAAACCAGAATATATATGGTTTAGGGGTGGGGATCTCAACCATTTACAAGATATTAGAACTTTCTCAAATGGCAGGGGGTCGGGATGACCCCTGGGGACTTATCCTGTATATCATTCAAACCATCTTAGCATGACAAACCAGAATATATATGGTTTAGGGGTGGGGATCTTGACAACTTAGAAGATATTAGAACTTTCTTAAATGGCAGGGGGTGGGGGTGACCCCTGGGGACTAACCCTGTATTACATTTGATGTGCTTTATCATGACAAACCAGAATATAAATGGTTTAGGGGTGGGGATCTCGACCATTTACAAGATATTAGAACTTTCTCAAATGACAGGGGGTGGGGATGACCCCTGGGGACTAACCCTGTATATCATTCAAACCATCTTAGCATGACAGACCAGAATATATATGGTTTAGGGGTGGGGATCTTGACCACTTACAAGGTATTAGAACTTTCTTAAATGGCAGGGGGTGGGGGTGACCCCTGGGGACTAACCCTGTATTTCATTTAATGGGCTTTATCATTTAGAACATTTTCAATTAAAAAGTTTGTGTCTATCACGAACGGTTTTCAATTTATAATCATTTGAAAATTTTTAAAAATAAAATCCCATAGGGTTCTATAGTAAAACCCTCTTTTCTTTTTGCCCCTCAAAGTACCCCTTTATAAACCCCATTGCAAAAACAAAACCCTGATTGCACCACTAGACATGTTAGTCTAACATATTGTGAAACCCTAAGTTAATCCGACAAGCGGTTTTGGAGAACGGGTGCGGACAAGTTCAAATTTAAAAGTGGCGGAAGAAGAAGAAGAAGAAGAAGAAGAAGAAGAATAATAATAATAATAAGAACTGAGCAAAAACAATAAGTCTTCCCAAACTTCGTTTGGGAGACTTAACAAGACCGGGTGTGGACCTGCGTTGCTGCATTCATGTGATTGTGATCAGCAAACTGAAAGTGGATACATCGCAGATGTAAAAATTGCTTAATCGCTACAACTCAACATTATAAAGCTGCAGACCAAATATCAAATCATTCCCTTTCAAAGAAGCCCAGAAAACTTTGACAAAAGTCTTTTTTGGAAGGACAGAGCAGAGCAGTTACTAGACCTGATTCCACTTTCGGCGAAGCAGGGGGAACACAATATACCCTGTTCAAGTAAGCAGAGATATCAAAAATAATTTTTTTTTTTAATTTTCAAATGTGAGTACCTTTATCTTATTATACATGACATCATTAGCTTTCTTTCCCATCCTGATATAACAGGCAGCAGTGTCAGCGGCAGTGATCTGTAGATCCTCAGCCAGTATAGATTCTATCACTAGTTTCCTCAATAATCTCTCTGCATCACCTCTGCTGTAACTTTTACCACGACCATGTAAACTTATCTTGTCGTGTCCAGCATCACAAATTCTTGACGTCTTTGCTCCTGTAAATTCAACAAAAGGTTATTGTTTACCTTATATTATTTTAATACCAGATGTAAAATTCAATAAGTTGCACAATTATCTATTAAAGCACCTCAAATGAAATCTAGGATAATTTATTGTGTCATTGTTTACCCGTTAGATAAAGTGTGTCACTCAATCTTCTTTTTCATGCTTTTGTGCAGAGGAATTATTGCTATAAAGTATTGCTCCTTTCAATGTTGACATGTGGAATGAGACAAAGTACTAAGACGCAGTTTTTCAACAAAATACTTCTGGGATCAAATTTTCAGACTGGATTTACATTTTACACCGCATCTATTTGCAATAAGGTTTAAGCATTTTTGTAGCAGTTCTTTTCCTGTGGTTGTCCTTGGTTGCTGTCTATCATAATTGTTTAGTTTAAAACAGGTCATTGGTTTTTTTTCTCTTTTGAAACATAGTCACTCATCTAAGAGGAGTTTGGGGAACAAAGAGCAGACAGATTAACAAAAAAATTTACAGACACAACTGTAACTACATGCCATCTACCTCACTAAGAGGTTGTCATAAGAATGAAACAGTCCATACCTCTAAATATCTCCACAAAATGTAACAATGTATAATTATTAGATCTCCTGTTTCCTCCACTTGTTAGGTCTTTCACAGCTTTAATGATTTCTTTCACATCTTCTGTTACATCTCTTATTGTAAATGTACCCTATTAAAAAATTAATGAAATAAAAAATGACTACGACTAAATCCTTAATGAAAATAAATCCAGAATGACCGCTGACCCAATTTTCATTGTAAGCTTTCATTAATGAATTGGCTGTTGTTTCTGTTACACATACCTTCTTACTCAATTATTTTTTTTTCCAATTATTTTTTTAAAGAACTATTTCTTAAAAGTTGTCTTTTTCTAAAGGACTTTGAAAAATATAGAATATATGTTGAAGTGCTATTTTCTTAGTTGGTGGAGTTTGGTTACCTTGACCTTTGACTGTTGACCCTCAAATGAATAAAATTTTAATCCTCCCACCATTTTCTAGTATTATACATGTATTGTGGCAGATGTTAACTGATCAGATAAAAAAACAAACTGCAACAGACTTGACTGTGCATAGATTTTTCTATTAAATCACAGGGTGATACCTATTTTTAAAGTTAAAATAAATAAAGTATATGCATATATATTCTTGACTTTTTGTATTAAATTAAACTCTCCATTACTGTTAGTCAGTTTTGTACCATGAATGAATTTTAGGCAAATTTTAGGCAAAATTCAAGTAATGCTCTCTGAGTCAATGTGACTGGATTTAAAACAAGAGTAATATCATTTAAACAGCCTTATATATTGTGTTATTCTATGACATTGCAATTAAAGATGGTTCAGTCTAGTTAAGATAAAGTATTGTATCAAGTTTCATGAAGACAGTTTGTGAAACTTACATTGTATTGTGTTAATACAGGGTTGTGACACGGACAAAGACAAATAAGTTTCATGCCCATGACAGCCTGATACGTATGCCCACTGTTTATGAAAAAATGTCTTCATTCTATGCTGATTAAATGTTATTATTAATATATTTGCACATCTTACTTTAGATACACAATTATCACAGATGGATCCTCTAAAGCTATCACAAGTATCTGTGTCAAAGTCATGTTCTCCAAAGTAATGGAGGAGCTGAGCTCTCCTACAATCAGCAACGTTCTCACAATACTGAACCATCCTGAACAAGTTATCTATATGGACCTTCTTGGAATCCCAGTTAGCATTTTTATCCACTAAAAGTAAAGGAGTCATCATTATGATTATACTGCATCAAAATTAATGATAATTAAGTCTTGTAATGCTATGAGAAACATCTAATTACTTAAAATATGAAACAAATGACCAAAAAATTTGTAAAGGGTTCCACGGACCCCTGGGTTTCACTGTGATTGCTGCTGTCAGTGTAAAAGTGCAATGTTGAGTGTCAATAGTGAGTTGATTTATCAGCAGAATACAGACTTTATTTTAAATCAATCTTTTTCTTTAGACGATGCAACTTTCTGATTTAGAAGATTTATACATTTGTAAAATTCTATGAAGGTTTGAAAAGTAATTGATGTGTAACAAGCTTTCTCAGACTGTATCTTCTTGTTAACTACAAACAACTGAGCCTCTTTTTATCAGTAAAATAATCCTGAATAAGTTTTTTAAAAGGAGACAAAGATGTTTCATTAATTTGAATACAAATTTGTTATTGAGTAAATACTTACTGTCCATAATCCTCCTGAGTCTTTTCACATCCTGATAATTATAGTACAGTATACAATGAGCCATCAGTCCATCTCTACCAGCTCTACCTGCTTCTTGATAGTACCCCTCTACAGACTTGGGGAGGGAGTAGTGGATGACAAATCTAACATCTGATTTATCTATACCCATACCAAAGGCAATGGTGGCACATATAACCTTCAAAATCAAATCATTGCATCATAGCATCTGTTTATAAATAGCTTTGAGTCGGGTGAGCTAAAATCAGTATTACTCATGTTTAACTTCTGCTGTACAGCTTTTAAAAAACAGATACACAGTGAATTCAATAACTTACATTGCCATCTGGGCAAGATAAGCTAACACAGTTAATACTTTTACAGTATTTCACTTGTAAATAAAGGATTTGTTTAAATGGTCTATATTGTTGATTTTTTTATATCTTATTTAAATTTGAAAATATGTATCTGGGCTACAGTCCTTCATTTGTTATACATTGTGAGATCTAGAATTTTTCAAAATATGATAACTGAAAATTTGTGATTAGTATTAGTATAAAAGGATTTGCTGTTTTGATTTTGCCAAAACAGTAACTTTATACATGTATAAAATACCTTGCATCTGTACCCTTTAAGCCAAGACTCCTGTACTGTAATACGTTCTCCATCACTCAAACCAGCATGATAAGAAACAGCCTGTATCCCTGCTTTCATTAAGTTACCAGCTACTGTATCACACTCATTTCTGAAATTATTTGTTACCACATCCATTCAAAATCAGCATCTAGCAACATCAACTCAAGTGCTGCCAAATAATAATATTAACACAATTAACATACTGTGAATTCATTTATTTTTGTGGGTATCAATTTTCGTGGATTGAGGAAAACTTGCATTTTCCATGATATTTGATTTCGTGGTTTTCCCGATCTCTGCATACAAAGCCAATAGAAAATTTGTAATTCGTTTAACATTTGAATTCGTGGTTCACCTGTACCCACGAAACCCACGAAAATTGGTATCCAACGAATAATAATGAATCCACAGTAATCATTTTTTCCTTATCTCATGGTGTCTACTGTTGAGTTCAAAGGTCTCCATTAACCAATATCAACATGAAATTCATAGCTTTAATAGTGAGCTATATATCTGTTTGAATGGAGTTGGAAAATATATTTCTAAATAAAGAGGAAACTTTAAACCTAAAATGTCGTCTCCCTTAATGTATCAATAATATTATGCTCTTACCCATTCAAAGATCATCCCTGAAAATACTTTCCTTAACAAATAAAACTGGCAATACACATTATAACACATTTCTTATGAAAGATGTCACAAATATAACCTCAATGCAATTACCTTGATAAACAATAAACAATTCCACATTTTCCAGGAAACCTTTCTTTGATGTTTTTAATTATATCAGCAGTCAATGTGGATGGTTTCTTTGGCATCACAGAGAACTTTAAATTTGGTCTGTTGAAACTCTGAACAAACCTTTAAAAATGATAACTACAACAGTCAATGCAAGAAAAGTTTTGTGAATGTGAAAACCTTCTCTAAAGCTAGTATATCAATTTCAAAAGATTTCAATTTTATAGGTGCTATAATACTTGATAAAAGTACAGGGATTTGGATAATTCACTGCCTGTAAAAATCTCACACACCTAGCTTCTATAAAACATAATAACAGAAAAAAAGTGTTAATTCTCAAGACATTAAAGACTTGTTTAATAAGATGACACAATATATTTACTAATTAAAAGCAACACAGGCTAGAAAGTTCATTTAGAGCTATTTTCCTAATGCTTGTAGTTTAAAGGTTTTGGTAGGCTTGCTTGCTTTGTTTGTATAAATGCTTGCTCAAGCATTGAAGTTAAAATTTACATCTGCAATCAATAGATAGGAGGGGCTTCAGCTTGTATACATTATACTTAAATGTTATTGGATGTTAAGTATAATGCAGAGTATAATGTATACAACCTGAAGCCCCGCCTATCTATTGATTTCAGATGTCAATCTTAATTACAATGCTTGAGCAATCATTTATACAAACAAAGCAAGCAAGCCAACCAAACCTTTAAACTACAAGCATTAGGAAAATAGCTCTAATGCAAATTAAATGTAGTTCTTTTCAAGAGGGTATAATACAAATAAAAAAAACGTTAAAAGCTTCCTTTCTTCATGCAAGATGTGCTACATTACTTGCAATCATATCGCTTTAAACTATCAAAATCTCGATTAATTTCATAAAAAATATCTTGGTTGTATGATTAAGTGTTACAAAAGGATAGTCATATATGTATTTTATTCAAAGATCATTTCTATTCCTTTTCATTACATTTTTAATAGTGTGTGTTCCTTTTCATTACATTTTAATAGTGTGTGTTCCTTTTCATTACATTTTAATAGTGTGTGTTCCTTTTCATTACATTTTAATAGTGTGTGTTCCTTTTCATTACATTTTAATAGTGTGTGTTCCTTTTCATTACATTTTAATAGTTTCTGTGCCTTTTCGTTACATTTGTAATAATTTCTGTTCCTTTTCATTAAATTTTTAATAGTTTCCATTCCTTTTATTACATTTTTACTAAATGACTACATGTTTTCTATCTGGAGTAAAAATCTCCCTCACCATTTAGGATTTCTCATTCCCAGTTGATGTATGATGTCCTTTCTAACTCTAGGAGTAGCTGTGGCTGTCAACGCCATGACTGGAACTCCAGGAAATTTCAGTTTTAACAAATTCAGTTTCTTGTAATCAGGACGAAAGTCATGTCCCCACTGTCAATATAACAAACAAATAGGAAATGTTCATATTATAGCACTTGATCAAAAACATTTTGATATTAAAATATCTGACTTTTGTTTCTTTGTTTGTTCTGCGGTTCAAGGGACAGACAATAAAGCATTTGTTTTTTTATTCATATGGTTACTGTATCATTGACATATATCCCACTTTTCCTTTTGATCATAAAAGACTTAACTTTGATAACACCTTTGCTATAAAAGATTCCCTCTTGAGTATCAATGTTGATCTTTAGGTGGATTGGAATTCTTTGATCTGATTAAAGCTAACTTTTTAATAAGATGGAATCTTAAGAGAACTAGAATCATAGAAATGGATTAACTCTGAATAAATTTTTCAAGAGCGAATCAAAGTAAATAAAAGAAGATTTGTTTGTTTGCACTTGAGGTATTCTTCCAACCTTTAACAAATTCATAATCTTGTTATGAGTAATAAATTAGTGCATGGTATCTTTAACCTTCATATTCATGATATTTAAATCAAATTTATTCATTCATTAAGTAAATATATTCATTGTGAATATTTTAGTATACCTGACTGACACAGTGAGCTTCATCAATTACAAATCTGGCCAACTGTCCCCTCTGGTGAAGACTCTCAAAACAGCTCAAAAGTTTATTGCTGGCAGATATCTGCGAAAATAAAAATAACCGATATAAATATGTGTAACAGTGTGTATAAATACACAATGATTGAACATATTCATTTATACCAACGTTGACTTTCCTTCAAAATTTAAATGTTTTTAATTTGTTAATAAAACAAAAGTGCACATGCTGAAATGTCTTACCTACTTTACTGAAAATGATGGAATTTGATGTTGTCTTAATAAAGGTACAACAGAAACTTAACATTATCCATTATCAATGAAAATAAGGTCAAGGTCAGATAAACCCTGTCAGGTAAACATCTACAACTTAAAGTAAATATTGAATGATGAACCATGAAATTGAGGTCCAGGCAGGCCATAATCTTGCTGGCGAAATGACGATTTAAGTCGCCAAGGAATTTTGAAAATTGCTAAAACTCTCCGGCTGACTGACTTCATGGCGAAGTCAAATCGCTATCAAAATCGGTAAAAGGGAGACAACTTGAATTTTACAAGTTTCATTGGTAACAAAAATGGTGGCGACAAGGAAAATCGAAATTTTCGAAGCGACCCAGGACTAATCTTTCGACGTTTAAATGAAATTAATACAACAGCGACTTTGAGCATCCATGGATTTAACATTCAAAACTATTGAAACGAGAAACAGAGCGTCTGTTTGAGTTATCATTTTCCGATGATTTTCATCACTCAGCTGATTTGTTTTCTTTTTATTTATTACGAGACGATCAATTTTACTATTCGGTAGGTCAAGGGTGGGAATGAACAGAAGATTTTTTACATTCTTTGATCAAAAATTGAAATATAAAAGGTAGAAAGACAGCTAATGGATAAGTTGACTGCAAACGTACAACAAATGGCCAGCTTGTGACCAATTTGTTAATTAGGGCTCATAAATTAGGGAGATATCTTTTATAACAAAATGATAAAAATTAGCTCTTTATCGACTTATTAAAATGTGATTGCTAAATATTTTCATTTATATATAGGCTTACAATCTTTCACGAGATTCTCAACTTACAGCTGACACGATGTCCTGGACAGTCAATATTTTTTAAAATTATGACATGTGATGATAAACATTAAATTGCCCAGTCATTTAAAAGTCATCACATAAACTGGGAGCCATATTTTTCTGGACTTATCGAAGCAGATGCACATGGGATTAATGCATGATAATATTACTTGGCAAGCAACAAACTTAATTTCAAGTTGACAGCACAAAAGGTTGAATGAATAAATAACAACTACATTGTCTAAACCTTTTTATTAAGAATTTTCAATTCATACATTTTATACAATATCATATAAAACACTGCAAGTATATTTGTTATTGCATAAATAAAACAATTTTCCCTTAATGATGTACACGAAAACACTATGCAAACGAAACGGTAATGGAATTTCACTTCGATCTCCATGAAATTGATCACTTCTCCCAATTCTCTCATGGAAGGAGAAGTCACTTCTCCCTCTCAAAAATCCTAGATTAGGCCCTGGGTCCAGGTCAGATAAACCATGTCAGACTGACATGCACATCTGAGAGTCTATCTATAGGTCCAATGTTGTTGACCTATTACTATAGTATCTGAGAAATAGACCTAAATTGCAAAACTTAACAATGACCGATGCACCATTAAAATGAGGTCAATGTCAGATGAAGGACATGTTCACCTTACAATCATTCTATATACAGAACATAGTTGATGTATTGCTTATAGTATCTGAAAAGCAGATCCAATCATGAAAATTTAATGTGGGTCACTGAACCATAAAAATGAGGTCAGTCAGGTGAGCCCTGTATGCTGGACAGGTATACCCTGCAATGAGTCTATATGCCAGATATAGTTGTCCTGTTACTCAGAACTACTGAAAAATCACATTATTCAAAGACCCCAAAATTACTATGTTTAATTGTTTTGTTAGACCTCTGTGATGATAGAAATAAATTTCTCATTTTTCCTTCATTAATTAACATAACTTAACCCAACCTTTTCAGGAGTAACATACAACAATGTAAGCTCTGGTTTTCTACAATGAAGTTTCTTGTACATAAAGGCTGTTTGTTGTTCGTCTAAGTCTGATGATAACTGTCCAGCAGGAATCTGGAATATTTGAAATACAACTCATATAAACAAATATAAAGTAAGTCTATATGAATCAAATGATACCTGTCCTGCAGGCATTTGAAACATGATAAAGAACAAATCAGACATATATTTTCAGATATACCTTTGTTATAATATATTTAACACACAATTTAGATAAATATTTATAACTATATGTATTTTGAAATGTTGTAACTGCACTGTTTTTGTATTATACCTTCCTAATGTAACTTTGCTTGTATGTATGAGTAACTCTTGTGAAAAAATACTGAATTACAGAACTGTTCATAAATGATTAAACTCACACTTGAACTTCAAAATAGGCAGGAATGACAGTTAAAGGCATTTTACCTAATTAAAACAATCAATATGCACTGATAGATTGCCCATTAATGATACCCCTCTTTACATATTTGGTAAACAGAAAGTTGAAGAGAAACTAATCTGAAACACCATCACACAGTATATCATGCTGACATGAAGCCTGACAAAAATTTTCAGGAAGCTCTGTAGTTGCAGAGAAAAATGCAACAGAACTTTCATGAGACTGATGGTCACACATACAAATAAGGCAACTGACAGACAGGGGTAAAATAGTATACAGTATACTCCCGCCATATATATTATTCTAACACAAACTGGCCATAGTATTAAATTTTTGTCACCTTTTTCTAGGAAATTAAAAAATATAAGCTTTCTAAAAATTTCATGCATGACCATTATGTTTAGAATATATAAGTATTCTGTAAGCAGGAAGTTGATGACTGATTTCTGAAACTGTGTGTATTTCCTGAACATGGGAAGGATGGATGGACAGACAAGGGTAAAACAGTCATCTTCGCTAGCCAAGGGTTATGATCCAGTACCCTACTCTCCACCCTTGGCAGATTAAGCCAACATTTGTGATTAAAATGCTGCGCCATCTACCAGTAGATAAAAGTCGCACTCATTCCGACTACATCATTCTTGACCAATGGTAGTTCTTGAACTCTCTTCAGTATGGTGGTGTAAAAAAGGTTGTGTGTAGTGTTTACAAATTTTGCAAAGCAGAAACTGAAAATATATGTTGACATTTTCGTGAGAAATATACACAGGAACTCTTAATTAGTTCATTCAAATTGTCACTAAATATCGTCCTATGATTTGGGGGTAAAGACTTGTTGCACAATCAGCATGTGTGGTAATTGTTTATTTACATTTTCTACATTTACACATGATCACCTTAAAGGAGCTTTTTGATTGGATGCAGCCAGCTACAACTGCAACCAATGGGAATCATTACCTCATGGATCTGATATTATATCTTAATCCACCAAGGGTGGAGAGGAGGGGACTGGATCGTAACCCTTGGCTAGCAAAGATGTAAAACAGTATACCCCTCCCCTTTCAAACAGAGGTATAATGATAATAATCTAATCTAATTTTTTTCACAGATCATTCCTGGTAACATTTCAAGAACCTACAACAATAAATATATTTTTTGACTTATTTTACAAACCTCCATTGAGTTGAGACGTGTAACCTGATCCTGTATCAAGGCTTTAAGTGGGGATATGATTATAGACACACCACCAGTGACTAGAGCTGGTAACTGGTAACATAGACTTTTACCACCACCTGTAATGTAAACAAGAACAGAAATGAACAGGTTATTAGTGATTTCCAATCCTATTCAAGTATTTGTAGATATGCAAATCATAAAAGAATTATTGTAATGTAAACAAGAGCTGGTAACTTGTAACATAGACTTTTACTACCGCCTGTAATATAACTGGATACAATCAACAACTAAAGGACCACAATACTTGTTTTATGAAACAAACTAGATCTATTGGAAACAACATGAATAGCCCTGCTCGCAAAAAAAGCTTGAAGCCATTTTTAGGAGTGGAAATTTGTGAATGAAAGTCTGTATAACTGGTATTTTCACAAAATTTTTTAAGTCCAAAGCTTGTAATTTCATCAAAAACAGCAGAGCGAAACCAAACATATACTAGATCTGTAACTCATCATAGTAGAATCACATACTGAAAATCAGCTTAATATGTGAAGGAGCTTGAAAAAAAAGTCCGTATAACTGTAATTTTCACAAAATTTTCAATGTCCAAAGCCTGTTATTTCCGCAAAAATCAGCCGAGCAGAACCAAACTTAAACTCAATCTGTAACTCATCATAGAAAACTCAAATACTAAAATTCAGCTCAATATGTGAAGGCTGTATAACTGTTCGTTGCTTCAACTTACCTGCCAGGTGACACAATAATGTTGCTTCAGCTTAGCTGTCAGGTGAGACAATGTTGCTTCAGCTTAGCTGTCAGGTGAGACAATGTTGCTTCAGCTTAGCTGTCATGTGATACAATAATGTTGCTTCAGCTTATCTGTCATGAGAAACAATAATGTTGTTTCAGCTTATCTGTCATGTGACACAATAATGTTGCTTCAGCTTATCTGTCATGTGACACAATAATGTTGCTTCAGCTTAGCTGTCACGTGACACAATAATGTTGCTTCAGCTAAGCTGTCATATGACACAATAGTGTTGCTTCAGGTTTGCTGTCAGGTGACCCAATAATATTGCTTAAGCTTAGTTGTCATGCGACACAATAATGTCAAACAATGAAATTTACATTTATATCATACCTGTTGGCATAAGTATAAAACAATCGTTTCCCAGTAGTGCAGCATTGATGGCAGCCAGCTGATTTTGTCTGAAGGATCTTAGACCAAACACAGTAGTGAATATCTTCATCATGTCCTTACAATGAGGGAAGTTAAAATTATCAAAAACTTTGTTTTCATCATCTCTTTTCTCCTGTGCACTCTTCTGTACTGGAATTGGTGGAGCTGTTGAGAGATAAAGAAAGTGAACACTCAAGAATGATTCTATTTAAGTCTGTGTAGAATAAATACCATATGGTTAGGACTGGTCAGCCCATAAATTTATATAGTATTACCCAATTAAGTTTAAGCCAAAGTAATGCAAGATTAGTATACATGTAGTACTCCTTTGTGGCTCTTGCATATGTAATATTAGATGAATCAAATAAGAATAACTAACAAGAATGTGTCCATAGTACACGGATTTCCCACTCACACTATCATTTTCTATGTTCAGTGGACCGTGAAATTGGGGTAAAAACTCTAATTTGGCATCAAAATTAGAAAGATCATATCATAGGGAACATTTGTACTAAGTTTAAAGTTGATTGGACTTCAACTTCAGCAAAAACTACCTTGACCAAAAACTTTAACCTGACTTGACCAAAAACTTTAACCTGAAGCGGGACAGATGGAGGGACGAACAGACAGAAAAACATAATGCCCCTAGGTGGGGAATAAAAAGAACCCATCTTAACACATAAAAAAGTGCACATTCAGTAAAACATTTTTGTCACTTTAAACTGAAATAAACTTACTTTCATATTTTGATGATGTAGAGGTATTAGGTGAAATTCTATTTGGAAAGTTTGGTGTTACATCCAATAAACCTGAAAGTGGAAAAGACATAAGATTGACAATCAAAATAAGTAACTTGTATATTGTATACAATATTGATAACTTTCTTCATATACTGTGGATTCATTATTATTCGTTGGATACCAATTTTCGTGGTTTTCGTGGGTACAGGTGAACCATGAATTCAGATGTTTAACGAATTACAAATTTTCTATAGGCTTAATATGCAGAGATTGGCAAAACCACGAAATCAAATATCCACGAAAATGCTAATTTACCTCAATCCACGAAAATAAAATAATCCACAGTACATTGTAGCTGGTACATGATATGTATTTTTCTTTATTATCTCACTTAGCAAGCTTTTCTCATTGGCAATCATACCACATCTTCTTATTTTTATTTTGTAATGTTTATTGGTCGTTATGGTTACAAATAAGAAGGATCTTATTGTAGCAATACATGGTTTACGCTGGAGAAAGCGTTACGCAGATTTAGACGTTTGGCAGGAAAGTCAGTGGCCGGGTCGAAGGGTATGGGGGTGTTTGTGAGGGATTCTCGTGTTCAGTAAGGGGAACATAAAGGGAACACCCCCTATCCAGGTAATATTGTATTCGCCCAGGAGTATATAAGCGGGTGAGGAATACAATTCGGGTTCTGTCGATGTTCTTATAAAGAAGACCAGTGTACAAGCAGAGGTACATTACGTAGCTGTAAGTTATATAGAAGAGCTATAACATTGCTAGGACAACTTGTACTGGATACAAGTTGGTCTAACATAGGAAGTTGGCAGAGCAGTCTGTCCCACTCGGAGGACAGGCTGTACCAGTCCACACTGTCTGGTAGTAACATACTGCACCTGCCCGCACTGTCTTATAGTGACAGATTGTCCCATTCGGAGGACAGACTGTTTAATAATTATATTTGTGTATATATAATTGTTCATTGTTCATGTTGTTACTTTATATAGGCAAAGAGCTAGTGTATTTTAGCTCATTGTGCATAACATAGATAGATATATAGTTTTTAGTATTGCCGTATTGTTTATGGACAGCTTGAATCCAACTATTTACTGGAACGTTCGTTTAAGATATAAACGCCTTACTGGTTACATGTTACAATATTAACACTCAATGAAAAGATTGAAGTCTTCTTCCAAAAAAAGGTAAAAAGTGTGACAAATATAAATGTTGGACAAACAGATGGTATAGATGAACAATTACAGCCTCAATTCTAGAATGGGTCTATAATAAATGTACTATGAAGATACATAATGACAAAAAAGACTGGGTGGTCCCCTAAGAATGCCTGACTATATTACATACCAGGTTTGTTTTGTCTGCTAGGTGTTGCTATTCTTGGTAAATCCATTTCTTCTGTGAATTCATCATCAAAGTCTTCTACCGCAAACAAATCATCATCAGAAAAATTTGTATCAAAGTTATTATTATTCTTGATCATTGGTTCCACTGAACAATTCTTTTTACTTGGCACATTTTCTGATATCCTGTACCCAAAATCTATGTCATCATCCATTGGCTGAGGTTGAGAAGAATGAAACAAAGCAGAGCTTTCAAAATCTGAGGTATTTGATTTCAAAACACTAGCAGCATTTTTGTTAAAATTGAACACAGGACTAGCAAAGTTACTTCCCTTTGTGTGGTTTCCTGTTAGATGTGAGAAGCTTGTGATAGGCGAGTTCTTACTGACAGAAGAAATATAACTTGCATGTGATTGCGTCATTGGAGCATCGGCCTCAAAGAAACTCTCACCACAAGTAAAAGGTGAAGTTATCACAGACGAACAAATACCAGACACCTTTTTGGACTGAATTGATTTTATAGACGATTGATTTAATGAGTTATATGGAGTCGAGGTAGATGATATGTTTCTAGGTGAAAGTAATGATGGACTAGTTGATCTCTGAAAAGATGGACTTTTCTTCAAATTTCTATTTCCAGACAGACTAGACTTCTGGGTAACAAATTTACAAGCATCTTCCACAGTCGACTGGTCCGTTATCTTCTTCCTACAAAATAAATTTCAGTTATATAAATCTTCTGTTACAGATGGTATCATGTCGTGAGATATTTTTTCATGATGGGAGATACTATGAATTCATTTATTTTCATGGGTACCGATTTTCGTGGATTAAGGAAAAATTGTCTTTTGGTGGATATTTGATTTTCGTGGTTTTACAAAAGTGTACATACAAGCCTATAGAAAACTTGTACTTCGTTGAACATTTCAATTAATGGCTCACCTCTATCTATGGAAAATAAATTGATGTTTTCACTTGGGAGTTGTTTTCAAAGTGCTATTATTCATGCACTATAAATAAATCAGTTTTGTAGAAAATACAAGGCTGCCAAGAGTCTTTATACTTAACGATTAGATTCCTACCTTAATGCTAACAAGGTTTGGAGCCTGGAATAATCCTGCCATACAACAGACATCAGATCATTGGTACTAACTTTTCCTATTATACTACAGATCTCATCCATGGTTTTTAATAGCACTGTTACCCTTTCAACTTTTTCTTCTTCTGATGGCTAAAAGATAGGAAATCAGACCCTAAGTTTAACATTGTGTATCAGCATAATATCAAACAGAAAACTCATTTCTTTCAAGACAATAGGTCTGTAAGATACTGACACCATATATGTTCCAAAATTCATGTTTTTGGTAATTTTTAAATATTAATCATATTGCCCTATATCAACCAGATTTGAATTGAACTGTCCTATATATATATATAGAAGAAGACAACTGTTGAAATTATTGATACTATCAATCACCTGAACTTGCATGTAACCTTTAACAAAGTGACTGTAGTATTAAATGATGGTCTCATATGCGTCTTCAAATATTTCTTGAAATGTCAATAAGACTGAAGTTTTACAGTTTTTATCAGATGTCTATATAGAAATATATATAATAACACAAATCTGGGACTCAATTCATTACAATAAATTACATTTAAAAAGGGTGTTTATAAAGTTTCCCAAACCTTTATTTTATTTGTTTGATGTGATGTTTTTTTCCCCATTGTATTCATGCAAATAGGTATTAATTCACCCTTCAAGGCCTATACAAAATTTTCATAGTTATTTCAAACTTTCATTTTACAACCTTCCATTCTAATAACTTTGTAAACAACATTCTCAAATGTTGACATGTTTTTTTTCTATATATTACACCAAATTTTAACAATATCTTTGTCACTGCACAATGAATCTACTTACTTCTGACTTATTCTTGTACTGGACAGGATAGTTTGATGTAACTTCATTTTTTGGTTTATCCTGTCCTACAATCAAATTTGAATAAATTATTCTTTCACACGCATATGTGTATTAATATATATATAAACAAATAATCCTCAAAGTTATCAACATGTGTTGTGTTGATAACTAATGTCGATAGCACCACTAATGACCTTAACCTTTGTCAAAAGTTACATTTAATTGATTTAACTCCCCCCAGAATCTAATATCTACTAAATAAAACAGCCTTTATAACTTTATAGATACAATTAATTTCATGAATACCATTTATCACATGATGGTCGTTGATTCCTGAGCTAAGATCTTCCATCACATGATGGTCGTTGATTTCTGAGGTTAAATCTTCCATCTGTGTTTCTTCATCACTATCTGCAATTGGTAGTGTCCGTCTTCTCTTTGTCTGTTGTTCACCACTATTTGTTCTCTTTTCTGTGGAGGCTCTCTAAACAATGAGAAAGACTTCAAAATATAAATAAGGATAATAATAATGCTTATCTGTATAGCTGGAGAAACGCATATTACAATGCTGAATTGTGCTCTATTAGAGAATTAGCTTGTTATATATTGAGATATGAAAGTGGCAAAGCTTACAAATTTTTCTCTGATCCTTTCCAAACCAAATTACACAATACAAATTAATGTTAATTTTATGCACATACTGTATGAACATTTTTAGAATTAGTCTCTAGTGAATGGTCCTTGAACCAATCATTAAATATTTGAAACAATTTGTGCATCTTGTTCCAACAATTATGAACAAGAATAAATGAGCATATTATTAACATTGTGACCCACCATTGGAAATGATTTTCATGAGATTCAAGATTCCTGAAGAGTGTATTTATGTCATGATATAACTCTAAATTAACCATGATAAAAAAACTTCACATTTTTACTTAAATTTTTCAAAATAATGCTGATAAAAAAATGTTTTACCTGTGATGACGATATTCCATCACTTTTCCTTGTCAAAGTTGGAGATACTGGAAAATAAAACTCACTAAATTAGTTTACAGGTATAAAAGTGTTTTCTAAGTATTAAGAATTTAACTACAAGCCTGAATTGCTAGTTGAAATATTCAACCCTGAATTGCCCTAGAAATGATGTTAGCTTGATTTGGCTTTGTTTTCCAATGGGAAGGCAGGATTTACATATAAAAACTTGCATATTCTATCACTGCTAATTTGATATTGCATTGGCCAAGCAGTGTTTGCGATTAAAGTCTTCCAAGTGTAAATGCAGTAATGTTTCAAAACTATTTAGTAGTTTCAGAGAAAAGATTTTAGAAAATTGGTCAATCCTATGAATGCCTCTACAGCCGTGTTTTCCATTAAACAAGAATCAAATGAAGAGGCTTGTAGAAGAACTTTCGTATAAAATCTCTCCAAATTTGGTTATTGGTCCAGCAGTTTTAGAGAAGACAAAAACAGATCTATCTTCCAGAATCTCATGTCATATATGTAAAAAAATGTGATTTCAACAGGCCAGCAGAAACATTCTTAAATTTACTATGACATGTAAAAATTTTGAGAAAAAAGACAAAGACTCATAGAAACTCTCTCCAAAATTATAATTTCTACACAATTAATATCACCAAAAGCTTCATGACAATCAAATTCCAATGTACAAACCTGGCATATCAAAGTCTGTGAGGTCATCATCATCATCATCAGATACTCCAAACATACTTATGACTGTATTTTCATGTGCCACATTCTGATTGGTCAATAACAATGGAGATATCTCTTTCCTTTTAGTTCCCATGCATGGAGCAATAGGTGCAACTTTTACAGGAGCACTGAACAATTATAAATATAAGAGTTATCTGGATTAGTTAATATGTACCAAATCATTCAGTTAGGAAATTAGACAGGAGTTATACATACGTGTATGATCAAAGTCAAGGAATTTCATTCATGGCCATGACATTTGATACACTTAATAATTCATAGGTAACTTACAATTGTCCTAGTGATAAATCATAATGAATAACATCATGAAACTAGAGGCTCTAAAGAGCCTGTGTCCCTCACCTTGGTCTACATGAATGTATGTGCATATCAAACAAAGGACACTCTCCAACAATGTAAATCTCTATTTTGTTGATCTTGTATTACTGATCTTTTAGTCTGTTTAGTCTCTCTTTATCTTCTTTAGTTTTTGATCAAAACACAAAAGAGGGTTAAAAAAATCCTCATTTAAGGGCAACCACTCCTATGAAAAGTGACAATCTACTAACTATATCGGCAAAATTTGACTTTTTAATAGATCTTGCCTTGCTGATCATTTATGTGATTTAAAGTGTTTATTTATCTATTACAATTTAAATCATATAAGGCATAACAGAAAAAAAATGTTTCTCTCTAAATATCATAGTCATGATAGATTTCATGATAATAGGCAAAAATGAAAAAAATGGTAAAATTTGTCATTTATGGGCAAAAACTCCTATAAGAATTTGTCTAACAGTTTTGACATAAGGACAATTGGTAGAGCTCATTATTTTGAACATTTTTGCCCCTTTCAGATTTTCTCTACTTATAATGGTTCAAAAAATAATAGACAAAACTTGCATTTTACCCCTATGTTCTATTTTTAGCCATGTTGGCCATGTTGGTTGGTAGGCGGGGTCATCAGACACATTTTTTAAACTAGATACCCAAATGATGATTGTGGTCCAAGTTTGGTTAAATTTGTCTCAGTAGTTTCAGAGGAGAAAATTTTTGTAAAAGATTACAAAAATTTACGAAAAATTGTTAAAAATTGACTATAAAGGGCAGTAACTCCTAAAGGGGTTGACTGACAATTATGGTCATGACGACTTATTTGTAGATCTTACTTTGCTGAACATTATTGCTGTTTACAGTTTATCTCTATCTATAATAATATTCAAGATAATAACCAAAAACTGCAAAATTTTCTTAAAATTACCAAATCATGGGCAGCAACCCAACAATAGGTTGTCTGATTTGTCTGAAAATTTCAGGGCAGATAGATCTTAACCTGATGAAAAATTTAACCCCATCAGATTTGCCCAAAATTCTTTGATTCAGAGATATAAGCAAAAATCTACGTTTTACCCCTATGTTCTATTTTTAGCCATGGCAGCCATCTTGGTTGGCAAGCCGGGTCATCGGACAATTTTTTAAAACTAGATACCCCAATGATGATTGTGGCCAAGTTTGGTTAAATTTGATCCAGTAGTTTCAGAGGAGAAGATTTTTGTAAAAGTGAACGACGACGGACGCCGGACCCCAAGTGATGAGAAAAGCTCAATTTGCCTTTTAGGCCAGGTGAGCTAAAAAAGTAAAATAATCTCCATGGAAATTAAAATTTTAACAAAAGTCCAGTGACAAGTATATAGGTATATGAGATATGATTATACCCTGTTTATACCAGACTGACAACTTGAGTTGAATTTCTAATGTACTAGCTCACATGTTTAAACTGTCCACAAGAAGACATGTCACCCTACCCAGACACATGACACATTATTCCAACTCAGAACCAACCAGTCTTAGCTCTTTCTCCTAAATGCAAAGAAGTAGCTAGCACCAATGATTTGGTTTGAAACTGATGAGGTTTACTCCCAGGACCTCTCACACTGTAGGCGAGCATGCTATCACTAGACCACTGATGTAGAATGAAAATTAAATGTCAAAATACATTTTGCATTAATTGCATCAATTATTATCGATTCTAATTTCAATAATGTTCATTAACTTATACAGTTTTTTTTATGATACAAATAAATTTTACATGAAACTTGTAAGCTTTTAACATCTTTTGTACCTAATTCACAAGGTTAAACATATAACTTAAGCCGTTAGTTTTCTCGTTTGAATTGTTTCACATTTTTCATGTCAGGTCCTTTTAAAGCCAAGCGTAAGGTATGGGTTTTCTATCATTGTTGAAGGTCGTATGGTTGCCTATAATTGCTTACATTCACTTCTTGAACTCTGGTTGATATTTGTCTCATTGGCAATCATACTACATCTACGTTTTTTTATATATATATATCTTTACACGGTAGCAGCTAAAAATAATGAAGAAATGTATACCTGTGAGGGGCAACTGTTGCAACAGGTTTATCTGGCTTACTCTTGGCAAAACTTGTTATAGATGTCTGTAATTTATTTTTCTGAAAAATAATATATTCAACTTTAAAACTTTAAATCTAAGCATGGGAGTGCAGGAAAGGCAGTTTCTTTCACAACTCAAAAAAGTTTGTGACTTCTAATTTTCCATCCTTGATTTGAAAAAAAAAACAATTTGTGAATTTAATGATGCAGAAAAAACTTTTGCTTTTATTTCCTTTGTAATACACAAGCATGCAAGAGTCCTTTCTTTTTATAACATGAAAAAGACAAGATCATTATAACAGCAAGTCACGAAATAATTACATCATAACAACTGAGAACTGAGTGAACTTACAAAGGAATACCCCTGACCTGCAAAACTATTAGTATTATTGAAGTAAATAAATTCAATGATCTTCCCTTTAACATGTAGGACCAGGACTATATTCCTTTAAGCACATCCTCAGGCAGTGTTCTATTGATTACAACCTACCAAGGATTTGCTTTGGACAGCTGTGTTATGAACTCCTTCATTCTGCTTGGATGATCTGAAGGATAAAGGTATATCAAAGTCATCATCAATATCATTAACTGTGATTGGATAATCCTTCAGTGGCTCTGGTGGTACACTGTAGAAACTTTTTGATTGGTTGTTTGAAGCCACTGGTGGTACTTTTGCAGATATATCAGATGCCACATGACTGGAGGTTTTAGAGAAAGTGGCTGCATCAGTTCTCTTGTTCAGACTCAAAGCAGTTCCAGGTTTTTTAAACTTGAAACTTCTGTAAATAAAAATACAAAATATTATAATCCAGGGCAGGTCTTTTGATTATAATCTCAGAATGCATGAATGTTCATATTCAATTCATTGTATTTTAAGGTAAAATACATACAAAATTTGGCTTTTATTTTCCAACCAAAAAGAGTGCATGAGAAAGAGAAAGACTGGATAACTACAGTCAGTTTTCAAATCATGAAGAATGATTCTTTTTAATCTAATGAATAAACAAATGTGAGTAGGTTTACTAGGGTCAAGTAGAATACCTAAAGTGCAATATTATATTATATAATACATGTATATATAATTTTTTCAGAGTAAATTAATATATCACAGGATCTAATCTCTCACAAAATGATATTTCCTTTGTTTGTGAATTTTGTCAAGTAAACACATCAATTAAAACAAAATATCGATTCTAAATCCTTACTAGCCCAAATTAGAGGGATGCCTTGCCCCAATCCTTTCTGGCTGTGCCCCTCTGCCCTCGGGTCTATAATTTGTAAATCATCTCAGACTAGAAGTTCTAATAATGATGATGTAATCACATGTAAAACATTTCAAACTGTACAGCTTTCAGGCTTTATAATCATCTTCTTCTTGTTCGCTCTATTTCTTATTTAATTCAAAAAGTTTTCAAAGTATACCTTTATTTGAAGAGTCATTGTACAAGAAATTGAAACAACATTGAAAAACAATTGGTTTGTGAGGAAAAGTACTTTAAATATATCCATTTCCTTAAGGAAGTCCACATGTATGTTGCATCTCAAACTGATGATATGACTACAGAACCCTTTTCTACATGTACAACTGACAAAAGTGGAGTAAATGTGATTGTGGTATCAGATAAAAATAAGAAGATGTGGTATGATTGCCAATGAGACAACTCTCCACAAGAGACCAATTGACATAGATATTAACAACTATAGGTCATTGTATGGCCTTCAACAATGAGGGAAATCCCATACCGCATAGTCAGATATAATAGGCCCCCAAATGACAAATGTAAAACAATTCTACGGCCTGATTTATGAACAAAACAATGATGAAAAACAAATATGATATATAGCAACAAACGACAACTACTGAATTACAGGATGCTGACTTGGGACAGGCACATACAGAATGTGGCGGGGTTAAACTATGCATAGATAAGTACTTCATGTTTTATATAAAGAACTGGTAACAGATAACGATCAAATTATTTATCAAAAACCATTTTTTATCAATTGAAGATTTTATTTTTTTTCAGATAGAACTGAGTTATTTAAAAGCATTTTTTTTTTAAACCTTGAATTTACTAATTCCTGGTAAAAAGCTTTTTGATCAATAACCTCTACAACCTCTACTGCAAATTCAATTATGGGTAGTCTGTTGACCATCCGGTATCTGACAAGTTTGACATTCATAGCATTTGACATTTTTTTTAAAAGTTTATCAAGGTTGTATGATTGATTAAACAAAAACAAAATAAAGATAAATATTTGTAGTGAGAGCCAAGCTGTGGAAAACATATATTGTAAAACTGTAATGGAAAAAATACAATTTATCAAAAGTCCTTTATACACAATGTTCTAGCTTGGCAACTTTAAGATAGGGCAGCGCCCCCAATTTTTTGACATCCAATGTTCTTTTCTTTTCGCTGTCAAATAGTGGAGCCATGGCTCTTTAATGAGCTACGATCCCACTTTTTTATAACAAAAAAAAACAACTAATTGATCAACAACAAGGACATTTAAAACCGTAATCGAGGATCTTCTATTTAAGCATCAGGTCACCACTGCACCATAATAATCCTGAAAATTTACTATGGTGAAGGGTCTCTGCATCAAGAAATTATGAAGGAAAAGCCTGATTAAATTAAAATCAACAGTAAAGGTATGACATGAAAAAAATTCTTTTAAGACCTGAATACAAGTAAAAAGCTGTATTTTATCACTGCAGTTGATAGAGGGTAATAAATATACACTATAATGTATTTACTTTTCCTCAACCTACATAGATATAGGAAGATGTGGTATGAGTGCCAATGAGACAACTCTCCATCCAAGTTACAATTTATAAAAGTAAACCATTATAGGTCAAGGTACGGCCTTCAACACAGAGCATTGGCTCACACCGAACAGCAAGCTATAAAGGGCCCCAAAAAATTACTAGTGTAAAACCATTCAAACAGAAAAACCAACGGTCTAATCTATATAAAAACGAGTATCATGTACCTTTTTGTAGCTTCAGCGCTCATCTTCTTCTAATATTTTTTTTCTTCATCTGATTCTCTGCAACAAAAAAATGAAACTAGTTACTCCTTCATTCCTTACTTTTCAAAAGAAATTTAAAAGAGAACATTTGAATACATCTATGACTAATTTATATAAATTCCTCACTTCTGGTGGTACTTATCAGTGGTTTAAAAGTACTGAACACTGACTTTAAATGAAAGGCCTGCCTGATTCTCAAACAAAACACCCCAAAAAGTGTATATTTTTCTGAAGAAAAATGTATTTAACTTCTATGTTTCTAGGTCCTGCCATCCCTATAAGCTTTCCCAGTTGCACAGGTTTGTCTTTATACATGTATGTTATACTCAGATTAAATTGTGTTGTGTAAACTTGCCATTTTTTCCAAAAGGATGTGATGAACCTTAAATTATACATGAAGTAACACAATAATACATGTATGTAGATTTAATGATGAATTGCTGTTAAACGTCCTGTGCAGATTTCCTGCATATTGGGCTTTTAGAGGATTCCAGTTGCTGATTGGCTGTCACAGAAGATTTCAAACTTTTCAAACATTTGTTTCTTATTCTACCGATATAGCTACATGCATAAGATCATACATAATTCTACCGATATAGCTACATGCATAAGATCATACATAATTTTATGTATCATTTAAGATTTTCTATCTTACCTGCCTTGTGGAAAAATATAAATTGACATATTTATACTTGTATGCAAATTTGTCCACCATTACTTAAAACCACACAACATGCACGAGTTCCCACAAAATATTGCATCACAACTTTATTATAAGTACAAAAATGTAGCAATCGATTTACATCCACAATCAAATAATTCTATTTATTCACTCCTCCCCTATATACAGAAATATTATTTCATTCTTTAATAAACACTCTCATTTTTCTAAAACACCTTTCACCCCTTTCCTTTGCTATTTTTTTTTTTTATATATAAAAAAAATTTGAAATGAACTTTCTTTATGTTATTGTATTCATTGACTGTATTTTGTTACGTACATATTCATTTGCTATTCAGCATGTAATCAAAGCTTGTAATTTTAGGGAGACGGATTTATAAAAGAGCACTGCTCTTGTTTCCTAATCCCAATTATTGAATCACTTGTATATTTCGTATTTCCTTGTAGCTTTATATATAACGATTTCTTTAATAAAATATGTTTACACTCAATAAGGTGTATTCAAAACATTTGATGTCATAATTAAAAAATGATTGTTGCATGACATCAGGTTATTTGGAGACAGACTATGGTCATTCAGAGACAAAATTCAGCTAAATACTTGTACCCGAAAGTGTAGTCCAAATAATTATGACGTCTTGAAACTATTTTAATTTTTTTCTGTGTTGCCTTCCTACGACGTCATAACGCTGAAGCCATTTTTTACGTCTGGACTTTGAGAGAGAATTTAGGGGGGAACTTTGAGACCCAATTTTGGCATGAAATCTTCATTGCCGGCTAGAATTTTTTGCATAGTAACAAAGTCTTACCTTTTTTTGTGCTTATTGATTCAAAATATTTCCAGAAATATCCAAAAGAAATGATAAAATAAGATACGATTCCATTTGAGGTGAGCAAATATTTAATTTAATTTCGAAATGGTTTCCCAGAATTTCCAAAATACGTCATTTCTGGAGAGTATAAAATATCAAAATCAGTAAAATTTGAAGGACCTGAATTTCCGGATAATACAAATCGAACGTTCTGGAAATTCGGGTCCATCCAATTTTACCGATTTTAATATTTTATACTCTTCAGAAGTGAAATTCTGGGAAACCATATTGAAATTAAAATAAATATTTGCTCACCTCAAATGGAATTGTATCTTATTTTATCATTTCTTTTAGATATTTCTGGAAATATTTTGAATCAATAAGCACAAAAAAGGTAAGACTTTGTAACTATGCAAAAATTTCTAGCCGGCAATGAAGATTTCATGCCAAAATTGGGTCTCAAAGTTCCCCCCAAAATTCTCTCTCAAAGTCCAGACGTAAAAAATGGCTTCAGCGTTATGACGTCGTAGGAAGGCAACACAGAAAAAAATTAAAATAGCCTTGCAAGACGTCATAATTATTTGGACTACCAAAAGTGTATAGAGGGTCATCTGACATATATAAACTACTGTTATAATTTGTAATAACGTATGAATAAGAGAAATAACACATTAAGTTAATGAAAATAGGTTAAAGTATAAAAGAATATTTCCTAAATAAAATTAAAACACAAAAAAAAATATTTAGAAAAAAGGGGGATCCATTCCCCAAGTGCCTGTGTCAGTGTCCGACTACAGTATCAAAGTGTGTTACTATGTCAAACGACTTCTTAAATTGTAGATTTACCGAAACCAAAATATATTCTAAAGTCATTAATGGAAAGTTTTTCCCTGTGCAATCAAAAAGAATGAATATACTAGCGATTGATTGACTTCTCTTTGCTGTTCTGATGTTTATTTCTCGCGCCGTTCATTTATGCAAAATATAAAGCTCTTGTCAGATTGTTTCTTCTGTGGCTCGTTTTGACTAAAGACACAATTAAAAATCACCAACAACAACATACAAATAAAAATAATATAGTAAAAGTAAACTTTAGTTATAACTTGGAATAGTATACTAGCAATATACATTATTGTCCAAGGTTAATAAAAAGTATTTTTATAGTAGGAATATACCAATATCTTACTTTTAAAATCCTTGTTTATAATAGGTAGACCTATATAAGGTGTATGTTGATAAATTAACATGCTGGTTTGGTAAGAACTGAAAAGTAATAACGGCCGACCAAACACTTTAACAGGTCAAAATTTTTTTAACATAGGCAATGCCTTTAACATAAGCTCTGTAGAGCTTTTATAACGGACACACATAATCACAATACATATAATCAGAATAATGAATACATCGAAATATCACTGATTCCATCAATCAAATACTAATTACATTCTCGTGCCTTTTTCACACCTGAAACATGCCGGTGATTCCTTTAGAATCAACAAATTTTCACACCAGAGTTAGTATATATATTGTAAATAAGAGATTAAAACAAAGCTTATTAAAGTATACAAGGCTATGTTACAAAAACATAATTTCGCAGTGCTAACGATGCATATCTAAGGGTCTGGATGGGGTGCTTCATTTCTGTCTTAAATTTTTGGGGAATTTTTCTTTATCGTTCAGTAAAAATAACGCTGATACTGTAAAATTCTCCAAGAATATTAGTTTACTATTAAATTTATCTGTAATTATATGATTTCTTTATTCTGTACATAGTTTATTTCCGTAGTCAGTTTTCTGTATTCTTTTGCACCCCATTATTCTCTATTCATAATTTTTTTTCTTCTCATTTTTATCTATTTATTATTTTTTGTTGGCCATTATTCAGTCTAATCTGTAAACCCCAACCAGACCCTCATATCAATACGGCTTGATAAAAATAACTTGAATCGACGTTTGTTAAAATGTCAACACTGTATGAACTAAAGGCTCTAAAGAGCCTGCATGTGTCCTCATCTTCAACAATGACCAATTCTCCGACATTATAGACGGAATAGAATATGATTTATGACTAAGATCTCTTTTTTTAATCGTGTGCTGATTAATTTTTATGTTAAAAGTCTATTAAAACGCAACAAAAGAAAATAGATAAAAATGTCATTTAAGGGCAAAACTCTTACGAGGTATATACTGACAATTGTGACTATGTTGACTTATTTGTAGAACTTATCTCTGTTTATCTACTATAGATTTCGCTAAAAATGCAAAAAATGTGTCATCATTAAGGGCTGAGACTACTATAACACGCCAATAACTCATATAAGTAGTAGTTTGTGACAATTTCAGCTATGTAACCTACTTGTAAATCTTTTTTTTTTTCTGATAATTTTTGCTGTTTACAGTTTCTCTCTATCTACTTAAAAATTGTTACCAAAAAAGCAAATCAAATGGAGAAAAAAATATTGACAGGCAAAACCCCCTGTAAGTAGTCGAACGACGTACAATTTCAGCTATAATCTTTTAACTTGTTTTAAATAGAGTTTGTCTTGCTTATTGTTTTTTTTCTGTTTAAAGTTTGACTTACACTTTATTATAGTTTTCAAGATAATGGACTAAAATCCCTCAGAAAGTAAAAATTGTCATTTTGGGGCAATAATTCGTAAAGAAGTCCGAGTCGCTTGGCGATTTCGGCGGCAATTTGGCGTTTTTGTAGATCTTGTCTTGCTGATTATTCTTGCTGTTCTAAGTTTCTCTCAGTCTAGGCCATAAAAAAGAATCTGTTTGTTTGCCCTAACCCTACCTACCCATGCAGAAAATAGCTGCCTACTCAAATTCTTTTATTGTCCTGATGTGAAAAAGTTTTTTTTAATCAGATAGGCATGAAGACTAAAAAACATCTGACACTTCAATTTCTCTTTGCCGAAAAAAAGAACATGCCTACCTACCTACCCGCTGTCTCTACCTTTGGGTAGGGTTTGGGCAAACCAAAATATTTTTTAAGTGTGGCCCTATTATATTTTTAAAGATAATAGGCAAAACAAACAACTGGGAACAAATCGTATTGAAGGTAATATCTTCTATAAGGAGTCGTATGACGATTTTGTTAACAAAAACAATAAGTAGATCTTGACATTCTGATTATTTTGCTCTGTCAGACTTTCTATTTATATCTTTAACGGTTTTTCATAATCTTATAAACTTTTTACTTGTATCATAACTAGGGTAACTTTTATTTGCGGCAATTTACTTAAATGTTTCAATTTCGGAAACTTAATTGAACTGTTTTTATCTTTTTCCATTTCCTGAAAATGATTGTTATAGATTACTATTGTATAGTTGGAAAGACGAAATTCCAAAAGGTGGCTTTGTGTATATTTCATCGTAAAATTTTACTCCATATATTTCCAAAAGAGACGGTCTTTGATAAATGTACTATTTCCATGATAGTTAAACTATTTTTTTTATCGAAATGGGAATCATTCATTATTCATACATCGTATTTAAATGTTGTTTCATTTTATCAAGTCATCATTCAGTCTTTAAAAAAATCAGTTACATCTGACTTTGATAATTTACAGAATACTTTTATGTTATACTTTTATGTTATGTTAAGTTATAACATGGAAGTAAAAGTCAATATAATACTTCCATGGTTATACATAGAAAGGTGGCATTAAAATATTGTTGAATAAGACTAGAAGTGTCGAGTCTTTTTATGTATTAGACTTTGGAAATACTGATTATTTTCTTCCCAGAAGTTAGACCCTGTCATAAGTTGGTACCAGTTTAATTTGCAGGGTTCTTGTTTCATAATGTGAGTTTACAGTTGGACGAGTTTGCAAAGATGTGAGTTGAATTTGTGTGGAACAGGTCGAAAATGGTTCGAGTTTCACTTTGCAATGGTACGAGGTGACTATAATTCGTTAAACTTTGCATTCAAACTCGTTTCAGTTAAGAGTATTGCTATTGGTTTGTTTAACTGTTCAAACCACACGAGGCAACTGCTTGGGTTAATAGGGGGAAAAAAATATACAACCCGTTTAAAAGGAAAAAAAAGGAGGTTCATTTATCATTAAGCATACCACAAACCGAAACCAGTAGTACGACCTTAGTGTGTCACTTCGTTATTTTCCGATGAATTAGTTTCTTGTTGTATTATAGACAGTTCTCTGGAAGAACAAGCGGACGATAGCTTTATCCATTGGCACGGATCAACTTCCTTTTCCGGTTAAGAATCCATCGGTTCGTAATGTCTTCATGCCTATATTTTCAAATCTGAAGTAATCCTTGCAAACAAAGCAGACGTATTAAATTATCTTCTTCAAACGAAACAATGATTCTCAAGCGAAAGCGTTCATTAAATGTAACAATGATTGGAAAGACACTTTTACAGTAGGAAGGCCAAACAACACGATAAGCCTTCACTTATTTGTTGAGATAGAGTACCATTTGGGGACAGAAACTTGTGTTTATTATTGCATGTCTAAACATTTTGCCTAATGCTTTTGTCTGTCCGTTTGAAATTTACTAGCCAGAACAATAAATGACATTGAATGAGGGGAGTATGGCCGTATTTATACATAAATGTTTATTCCAAGTTCTAAAAATGAACACCAAAATGCCCATAGTTTTTTATGTTCTGAATCAAATAATTCATACCATTTGTGTATGATTATCGAAGTCGACCATGTCTAAAACCTTGTCCAGGTCAGGTGCATAGGTTTGAGTAAATTTTGTGGTGCTTAATGGGCTTTTCATGGGTAGTGTGTTCTAGTCTCATTAATAGAATATCTTCAGGAGTGATATTTGTAAGAAAAGGTTCCCAAGGTTATTGATGAACTGAGAAAGTAATCTCAAAGTACATGTAACATTTTTTTATGCCCCGGCCATCACTGAGGGGAATTAAGTGTTGCCCGTGTCTGTCCGTATGTAGTCCCAAAATTGGTTTCCATTCTCTTACTTCGAGTTTGACTCAACCAAATGCTAGGAAACTTATACACAATGCTTATTACCACTAAACACAGACCAAGTTTGAATTTGGGTAGCGTATTTTTGTACCTTTCTCGAGTTACTTCTCTTTATAATGTTATATGCAAATGGGGGCATCATCTGTGTCCCATTAATACATTCTCCATTTATTTTATATACTTCAGTTTAGTGTCAAGACTCGTGACCATTAAGAGACCGTGAATTATATAGTAGAATCATCCCTGAATTTATTAACAGTCATTACTTTTGGTAATTACACTTTGATAATTTATTTCAGAAATGGCTGTTCGATACCAGATGGCCATTGGCCTTAACAAAGGCCATAAAGTAACTAAAGTTGACAGCAACCCAAGAAAGGCTAAACCTTCATACAGAAAAGGTGTAAGTACATTCTGAATATGATTTAATTTGAAGCAATAATTATTATACTTAAAAAAATGCTATCAAATCTTCACCATTTAGGGAATAAATGCAATTTTAAAGAAGGAAGATGGAATTGCAAGATCTTAATATATTTTACATCACTTTTCGATAAAATATGTTCTAATTTAAAGTAAAGAATTTGTGTGTATGCATTTGATCTGTTAGGGGACCTGAATAGTCTTAACCACACCAGTGCCTCCAGTTTCCAGCTGATTTTCACAGGCTTCCCATACATGTAATTCGATTTCTTTAAAGAAGTGTCAAACAGACTGCAATGACATGAAGGACCTAGCTAACTCAGGCAAACAAAAAATAGGTGCGTTTCTGGTCTACCGACTAATTTAAATGACAGGATCTGACCCTAACGGAAAACAAAAAGAAATAATTTGCAATTTTCGGTGTGATAGGTAAAAAAGCTCTTTTTTTTTAAGCAAATTCCAAAATCAATGATGGGAAATAAGCTCTTCCTCTGGCATGTCCCTAAATAATCTGTGTCTAATTTGCGCTATTTGTAAAAGCGCTTTTGTGACCGTGAATGATAATAAACAAATGGCCTTCTATAACTAGTGTGCATGCAGTTCATTTGATGCAACGATAAACCTGATATACAGTTTCACACTCAAAAACATTCGAAAAACGGTCCAAAGAACTTCTTGATGTTGGAGATCTATTAAACACACCTATTATTATACGACCGCAAAAAAATTTTGTGGTCGTATATTGGTATGACGTTGGCTCCGGCGTCGTCGTCGTCCGGCGTCGTCGTCGTCCGGCTTCGTCGTCCGAATACACACTGGTTTTCGCACTCTAACTTTAGTTTAAGTGAATGGATCTTTTTGAAATTTGACCATAAGGTTAAATACCACAAAAGGAAGGTTGGGATTGATTTTGGGGGTTATTGTACCAACAGTTAAGGAATTAGGGGCCAAAAAGGGGCCAAAAATCAGCATTTTCTAGTTTCCAGACAATAACTGTGGAACAGTGTATGGATCTCTCTGAAATTATACTACAAGTTTCCATACCACAAAGGGATTGTTAGGATTTGCTTTGGGGGGTTATGGCTCAAACCGTTTAGGAATTAGGGGCAAAAAAGGGGGAAAAACAAGGTTGTCCTGGTTAATGGACAAATACTTTAGTACAAAACATAATTTAAAGCAGTGTAAGGGAGATAAATCAAATTCATCATTGAAATTATCTCCCTTACACTGCTTTAAAATTATGTATAAAGTAATGGTTAATGAACAATAAAGATAATTTAAAACAGTGTAAGGGAGGTAATCCAAATACAACGTTTTGGTTACTTCCCTTACACTGCTTTTAAATTATGTTTAAAGAAATGCATATTTATAAAGGAAGACCAGTAAAAATATCTGCAAATGTTGCATCTTTTTTTTTTACAAAAAAATCCATATGAAAGATTTGACACTATATTTTTAATTCTATTATAAAATAGATTAAGTTAGCACTATGGTAAATTTAAATGGGTAATTATGGTTGCCAACTCCATTGGAAATTTGAATTGAGATTATGACCATATCTTGAGGGAAAGAATTTTTTTGGGGAAAAAAGGGGGGGGGGGATAAAAAGAAATTGTGGGGGGTCAATTTTTTCTTATTTCAGATTTCAGAAATTAAAAAGAATTATTCTTCAAATATTGTTTTTTTTTCAAATTTCAAATATTGAAAAATTTCAAGAAGTAATCTTTAATTGCACAGTATGGCGCATTAGATTTGTAAAATCTTTGATCACATTTATTTATTTGTTATGCCGAATCTAACAGTGTATTTAGATTTTTAATTTTGGGTCCAGTTTTCAAATTGGTCTACATTAATGTCCAAAGGGTCCAAAATTAAACTTTTGTTTGATTTTAGCAAAAATTGAATATATGAGGTTCTTTGATATGCTGAATCTAAACATGTATTTAGATTTTGATTTTTGGCCCAGTTTTCAAGTTGGTCCAAATTGGGGTCCAAAATTAAACTTTGTTTGATTTCAACAAAAATTGAATATGTGGGGTTCTTTGATATGCTGAATCTAACCATGTATTTAGATTTTTTATTTGTGGACCCCGTTATCAAATTGGTTCATATTGAGGTCAAAAGGGTCCAAAATTAAACTTTGTTTGATTTCATCTAAAATTGAATTATTGGGGTTCTTTGATATGCCAAATCTAACTGTGTATTTAGATTTTTAATTTTGGGTCCTGTTTTTTAAATTGGTCTACATTAAGGTCCAAAGGGTCCAAAATTAAACTAAGTTTGATTTTAACAAAAATTGAATTCTTGGGGTTCTTTGATATGCTGAATCTAAACATGTGTTTAGATTTTTGATTATGGGCCCAGTTTTCAAGTTGGTCCAAGATAGGGTCAAGTATCTAAACTTTGTTTGATTTCAACAAAAATTGAAAATATGGGGTTCTTTGATATGCTGAATCTAAACATGTATTTAGATTTTTGATTATGGGCCCAGTTTTCAAGTTGGTCCAAATTGGGGTCCAAAATTAAACTTTTTTTGATTTCAACAAAAATTGAATATTTGTGGTTCTTTGATATGCTGAATCTAACCATGTATTTAGATTTTTTATTTGTGGACCCCGTTATCAAATGGGTTCATATTGAGGTCAAAAGGGTCCAAAATTAAACTTTGTTTGATTTCATCAAAAATTGAATTATTGGGGTTCTTTGATATGCCAAATCTAACCGTGTTTTTAGATTTTTAATTTGGGTCCCGTTTTTTAAATTGGTCTTCATTGAGGTCCAAAGGGTTCAAAATGAAACTTAGTTTGATTTTAACAAAAATTGAATTCTTGGGGTTCTTTGATATGCTGAATCTAAACATGTGTTTAGATTTTTGTTATGGGCCCAGTTTTCAAGTTGGGGTCCAAAATTAATTTTTTTTTGATTTCAACAAAAATTGAATATATGGGGTTCTTTGATATGCTGAATCTAACCATGTATTTAGATTTTTTATTTGTGGGCCCCGCTATCAAATTGGTTCATATTGAGGTCAAAAGGGTCCAAAATTAAACTTTCTTTGATTTCATCAAAAATTGAATTATTAGGGTTCTTTGATATTCCAAATCTAACTGTATATTCTAGATTTTTAATTTTAAGTCCCGTTTTTTAAATTGGTCTACATTAAGGTCCAAAGGGTCCAAAATTAAACTTAGTTTGATTTTAGCAAAAATTGAATTCTTGGGGTTCTTTGATATGCTGAATCTAAACATGTGTTTAGATTTTTGATTATGGGCCCAGTTTTCAAGTTTGTCCAAGTTGGGGTCCAAAATTAAACTTTGTTTGATTTTAACAAAAATTGAATATATGGGGTTCTTTGATATGCTGAATCTAACCATGTATTTTGATTTTGGACATTGGACCATAATAGGTAAATTAAAAAAATTCAAGTTCTTAGACCACATTCTTTCTGTGTCAGAAACCTATGCTGTGTCAAATATTTAATAACAATCCAAATTCAGAGCTGTATCAAGCTTGAATGTTGTGTCCATACTTGCCCCAACTGTTCAGGGTTCGACCTCTGCGGTCGTATCAAGCTGCGCCCTAGCGAAGCATTTTATTTTTTTTGGCCTGACCTAAAATATGTCTGATCGAAATATTTTTTACAAATTGAAAAATTGCTGAATTTTTCGTTTCCGTTCTCTAACTTAAGTTTGCCTCAACCAAAGGTTATGAATCTTTTACACACGGCTTATTACTACAAAACACAGATCATGTTTGAATTTGGGTGCCGTCACTTTTACCGTTCTAGAGTAATGCTCCTCTACAAATGGAAAAATTGCTGAATATTTCGTTACCGTTTTCTAACTTAAGTGGGGCCTCGGTGGCCGAGTGGTCTAAGTAGTCGAACTACTGTATCACTAGCCAGTCAACACTGAGGTTGTGAGTTCGAATCCCGCACGGGGCAGGTGCAGTCTACTCTGATCTTAATTGACTAGGATTGTCAGTTCCTACCGAAGATTGGTGGTTCTCTCTGGGCACTCCAGCTTCCTCCACCAAAAAAACTGACCGCCACGAAATAGCACAATAGTGTTGAAAGTGGCGTTAAACACCAATCAATCACTCAATCTAACTCAGATCAAATAGCAATTTAGGTAGCGTCACTTTATCTTACAGAAAACGTATATAAATATGATTTGATGAAAATTTAAAGAGGTAGTAATAAAGGTTTTAAGTGAAAAATCGTCAGAACCAGGTTGTTTGAACTAGTACACTTGTGCGCATGTACGCAGGTGTGAGATTAAATAATGCATCTGAATTTTCAAAAATGCTAAAAATATCATTGATACCTATATCTCACATTCATTTCGAGTCTTTTCCTGTAGAAATAATGCGTAAAGAGCTACTTAAACTCAAACGTGCTTTGTAAACGTACACAGATTTTATGTAACCTTCTCTGGTCTGTGTTTTACCATTGTCAAGTCAACATCCGGTAATAGGAAAAGTACTTTTTAAAAACGAAAGTGAAGTTATTGACAGCGTAATATTGCACAAATAAAGAGTTTTAGGCAGATATTAATACGCTGATGTTGCACACTTGAATGGTGCACTGTCAATTCAACAGTTAGTGCCAGAACATCGAATTTATATTAAAAATTAAGTCAAATACCGCTTTTGTGTCAATCATAATTTATATGATGCCAAACTGATTACTATGGTTGCCTTTTGTTACTAAGTATTAAGGGATTAAAATCGAGATGACCAAAAAATGTCCGGCTGTCTCAAATATTTTTTGGAAGCCCTGGTTATGTCCCTTTATAACATTATATGCAAGCGGGGGCATCATCTATGTCCCATGGACACATTCCTCATTTATTTAATATCTATTTCAGAGAGCCACAAAGCATGCCAAATTTGTAAGAGATTTAGTCAGAGAAATTGCTGGTTTTGCCCCATATGAAAAAAGAATGCAGGAATTGTTGAGAATTTCAAAAGATAAAAGGGCACTGAAATTTGCAAAAAGGAGGGTAGGTTTATATAAATATACACTTAATAAGAAGTTCATAATTTTACACTGTATTAAAAATTTAGTATCAATTATGTTTGAACATGTAAGTATAAATGAAAAGAGATGTATACATTACAGACAACGGGATACAGTTAAAAAGCTCTCCGGTTGGTAATGAGTAATTTGACATGTTACAACTGTGATTGACAGGGAAATACGATGATTGCTGAACTTTGATTAAATCCTGTCATACCCAACTGGTTTCAAAGGGGAAGTGAAAAAAAAAGGAAAAAATAAATTAAATTCAACACTCGAGTTTAAAAAAAATGTTGGTAACTGTATGTTAAAAAGTGGTTGGTATATAATTGAAGTTGAAAAAATGTTTATCTCGAGAAAAAAATACCCCCCTCACTAAAGATGAATGGTCGGTAGAATATTTGCTTATAGTTCCTCATGTTTATGTGGGGTTGTCAGTCTTATTTCGGGCGTATTTCTTTAAACTTTGTAAACTGAAAACATTTACTAGTTCTGTCTGGTTACTGACAAACATTGTACTATGTAGACTGGTAATTTTTTTTAGTGAAAAGCCGTGTTTACACATCATTATACTCCTTAGAAACCTTTATTACTTACAATTCCAATAAAATGCTCTACAAATTATGTCAATATAAAAAAAGTTCACCAAAACAAATTTACACTTGTCAAGTTGTCCAACTACTTTTGAATGTATTGCAAAAAGTCCTGTTAAAATTGGGATTTTTATTTGTTTTGTAAAAGCAGATTGAATTGATAAATATAACCAAAAAGAAACAAGGCTGGGAGTATAGGTAGGTCCAAGCAAAAGGACCTAAGTGGTTGCTTCTTCCCTATTTTTTCCAATGAGCCTATAGACCTGAGCAAACTTTTAAAATTGGGCGATTTGATTCTTTGTAGGCGAAAAATAGAAGTAACATATAGTTTAATTATATGCTTAATTTTTACAGCTCGGAACACACTTTAGAGGAAAGAAGAAGAGGGAAGAAATGCAATCAGTCTTACAGAAGATGAGGAAAGCTCAACAACATAAATAAACTGCAAATAAATTAATAGAAAAAATCTGATGGTTTTGTTGCAAATGCTGAAAAAGACGTGTAGCATCCCTTTTATCCCTTGATTGTCTAACTATGCCATTGTTTACAGCTCCCCTCCCCAAAATACACATTTTGGTGTAGGTTTGGGTTAAAACTGACTTGTTTCAACGTCTTTCATGATTATATTGTCTTGCTTTTGACATAGGTGTTGCTTTTATGGCAACAGGCGTTGTTGGCGTCAATAATGGTTTAGTTTTCTGCTTAAGTTCGTTTGATAGGAACTTCTCATGATAGACAATATTTCTAAAAAGTTGCATTACTATCAGTATATATCAGTTTGACGACTATTTCGAGGCCATGGTCAAGCGATTTCAATTAATCAGCAATTTTCAATGTTAAGTTTTCTGCTTAAGTCCGTTTGATAGGAACTTCTCATGATAGACAATGATATTTCTAAAAAGTTGCATTACTATCGGTACATCTCAGTTTGACAACCATTTCGAGGCCCTGCCCCCTTGGTCATGGTCCAGTGACTTCACTTTGAAATAATTAGCATTATTGCTGTTAATCAGATTGTCTTTTCTGAATTTTCAGGTGATAGGCTAGACATATCTCTTTTTCAACAGTTTATTTGTCAATTATTGGAATTGTAACTGCTAAACAATGTAAATGTCTGTAGTAAGCACTTTTTTATGATCCACCTAACAAACACTTTGTACAACCAATCTCTAGCATTTTTTGAAAACCCCCTCAAAAGGCTACTTTGCATATGCTACACTATGCTAAATACCAAAACTTGCAGACAGAGTTCGAATTTGGGCAGTAAGTCCAGGGGTGTGGAAATATTTGTTGTGACCAGTTGTCCCCAGGCAAGTGAAATTGTAAATTTGACTTGTCCTGAAGTAAAGTTACTTACCCTGATTTCTTAATGAATTTTGGAATGAATAAAACGTATTTAACTGTAAACGTGTATGTTTCTAAAACAGTTTTGAAACACCATGAAAATGGTCCATGTTTGTATGTTAAAATGATGAAAAGATAAGTAGAGTATACATTAATGAGATAAAAACCACCCAAAAAACAACTTGAAACTAAGGAATCTAGAGGTCAATTTTGCAATGTTTTTCGATGCTAGCTTACTTGAACCTGGGAGATTGTATCATGACTTATATTTTCTTAACTGTGAGTCTGTGCAAAGTTTTAAAGTTAACGAAGAGATGAAAACCAAAAAGTTGATGAATTGTTGTTTGCACCCACCCACCCTTTCCCCTTCCCCCAAAAAAATTTTGGTAGGCCAATTGTAAAATGAGAATTTGTTTAGATAACTAAGCGAAATCAAAACATTATAGAACTTTAAAATCCTCTATTCAATTTATTTTAATACCATTTGTCCATTGCCACTTCTGATTTCCGTTTCTAGTAAAAACCAAGGCACCTCTTCTCCTTTGGTCAACTTCTGAGCGATGACCTATCTAAAGATGCTTATCCATTGAACTTGACTGGTCGTTTACTTTTTATTCTTGAGAAATCAGAGCTTGAAATTAATAATGACCATTTCCAGTGTATCGTTGCTATAACCTGATCGATGATCCAGGATCAATGGAAAAAAAATGGCAGATTATTAATGAAACCCGGGTCTGCATACTTATTAGTCCCCTACCGACGAAGTCGAAGGGGACTTTAGGTTTGCACTCTGTCCGTCTGTCTGTCCATCCATCAGTCCGGCACCTCAGCTTTCCACACTTTTTTTCTTCGTTCTTAAAGATATTGATTTGATATTTGGTATATAGTTTTATCATGACAAGTTATAGATCAAGTTCGAATTTTGTTCCGGTCTGATGATTTAGTCCAGAGTTATGGTCCATAAAAAAACTCCACAACTAATGTTAGAGTACTATGTTAAACCATATATCTGTACAAAGGGAGATAACTCATTTTTATACGACCGCAAAAAAATTTTGTGGTCGTATATTGGTATGACGTTGGCGTCGTCCGAATACGTATTGGTTTTCGCACTCTAACTTTAGTTTAAGTGAATGGATCTTTTTGAAATTTGACCATAAGGTTAAATACCACAAAAGGAAGGTTGGGATTGATTTTGGGGGTTATGGTACCAACAGTTAAGGAATTAGGGGCCAAAAATGAGCATTTTCTAGTTTCCAGACAATAACTGTGGAACGGTGTATGGATCTCTCTGAAATTATACTACAAGTTTCCATACCACAAAGGAATGGTTAGGATTTGCTTTGGGGGGTTATGGCTCAAACCGTTTAGGAATTAGGGGGAAAAACAAGGTTGTCCTGGTTAATGGACAAATACTTTAGTACAAAACATAATTTAAAGCAGTGTAAGGGAGATAAATCAAATACATCATTGAAATTATCTCCCTTACACTGCTTTTAAATTATGTATAAAGTAATGGTTAATGAACAATAAAGATAATCTAAAACAGTGTAAGGGAGGTAATCCAAATACAACGTTTTGGTTACTTCCCTTACACTGCTTTTAAATTATGTTTAAAGAAATGCATATTTATAAAGGAAGACCAGTAAAAATATCTGCAAATGTTTTCATCTTTTTTTTTTACAAAAAAATCCATATGAAAGATTTGACACTATATTTTTATTAATTCTATTATAAAATAGATTAAGTTAGCACTATGGTAAATTTAAATGGGTAATTATGGTTGCCAACTCCATTGGAAATTTGAATTGAGATTATGACCATATCTTGAGGGAAAGAATTTTTTTGGGGGAAAAAGGGGGGGGGGGGGATAAAAAGAAATTGTGGGGGGCCAATTTTTTCTCATTTCAGATTTCAGAAATTAAAAAGAATTATTCTTCAAATATTATTTTTTTTTCAAATTTCAAATATTGAAAAATTTCAAGAAGTAATCTTTAATTGCACAGTATGGCGCATTAGATTTGTAAAATCTTTGATCACATTTATTTATTTGTTATGCCGAATCTAACAGTGTATTTAGATTTTTAATTTTGGGTCCAGTTTTCAAATTGGTCTACATTAATGTCCAAAGGGTCCAAAATTAAACTTTGTTTGATTTTAGCAAAAATTGAATTTATGAGGTTCTTTGATATGCTGAATCTAAACATGTATTTAGATTTTTGATTTTTGGCCCAGTTTTCAAGTTGGTCCAAATTGGGGTCCAAAATTAAACTTTGTTTGATTTCAACAAAAATTGAATATATGGGGTTCTTTGATATGCTGAATCTAACCATGTATTTAGATTTTTTATTTGTGGACCCCGTTATCTAATTGGTTCATATTGAGGTCAAAAGGGTCCAAAATTAAACTTTGTTTGATTTCATCTAAAATTGAATTATTGGGGTTCTTTGATATTCCAAATCTAACCGTGTATTTAGGTTTTTAATTTTGGGTCCTGTTTTTTAAATTGATCTACATTGAGGTCCAAAGGGTCCAAAATTAAACTTAGTTTGATTTTGACAAAAATTGAATTCTTGGGGTTCTTTGATTTGCTGAATCTAAACATGTGTTTAGATTTTTGATTATGGGCCCAGTTTTCAAGTTGGTCCAAGATAGGGTCCAGTATTTAAACTTTGTTTGATTTCAACAAAAATTGAATATATGGGGTTCTTTGATATGCTGAATCTAAACATGTATTTAGATTTTTGATTATGGGCCCAGTTTTCAAGTTGGTCCAAATTGGGGTCCAAAATTAAACTTTGTTTGATTTCAACAAAAATTGAATATATGAGGTTCTTTGATATGCTGAATCTAACCATGTATTTAGATTTTTTATTTGTAGGCCCCGCTATCAAATTGGTTCATATTGAGGTCAAAAGGGTCCAAAATTAAACTTTGTTTGATTTCATCGAAAATTGAATTATTGGGGTTCTTTGATATGCCAAATCTAACCGTATTTTTAATTTGGGTCCCGTTTTTTAAATTGGTCTTCATTGAGGTCCGAAGGGTCCAAAATTAAACTTAGTTTGATTTTAACAAAAATTGAATTCTTGGGGTTCTTTGATATGCTGAATCTAAACATGTGTTTAGATTTTTGATTGTGGGCCCAGTTTTCAAGTTGGTCCAAGTTGGGGTCCAAAATTAAACTTTTTTTGATTTCAACAAAAATTGAATATATGGGGTTCTTTGATATGCTGAATCTAACCATGTATTTAGATTTTTTATTAGTGGGCCCCACTATCAAATTGCTTCATATTGAGGTCAAAAGGGTCCAAAATTAAACTTTGTTTGATTTCATCAAAAATTGAATTATTGGGGTTCTTTGATATTCCAAATCTAACCGTGTATTTAGATTTTTAATTTTAAGTCATGTTTTTAAATTGGTCTACATTAAGGTCCAAAGGGTCCAAAATTAAACTTAGTTTGATTTTAGCAAAAATTGAATTCTTGGGGTTCTTTGATATGCTGAATCTAAACATGTGTTTAGATTTTTGATTATGGGCCCAGTTTTCAAGTTTGTCCAAGTTGGGGTCCAAAATTAAACTTTGTTTGATTTTAACAAAAATTGAATATATGGGGTTCTTTGATATGCTGAATCTAACCATGTATTTTGATTTTGGACATTGGACCATAATAGGTAAATTAAAAAAATTCAAGTTCTTAGACCACATTCTTTCTGTGTCAGAAACCTATGCTGTGTCAAATATTTAATAACAATCCAAATTCAGAGCTGTATCAAGCTTGAATGTTGTGTCCATACTTGCCCCAACTGTTCAGGGTTCGACCTCTGCGGTCGTATCAAGCTGCGCCCCAGCGAAGCATTTTATTTTAAAAGACATTCTTTGGTAAATTGATTGAGGAATTTTGTGGCAGGTTTATATGTTATTTTGTATAAACTATTTTTCTGAATGTTACATGTATATATATATATATATATATATATTTTGTTAAGTGAAATCCTTTAATTAGATGATAATCTATTTATATTAAGGTATATATTTCATTACATTACATTGTGTAGATAAAAGTTGTTGACATTTTATAGATAAGTTACAAATCTATATTAGTTTGTGACAAATGAAAGA